CCTCTTTCTTGGCCTGGCTGACATATCCCAGCACTTTCTCCAGCTGCGGCTTGCTGATCAGCGCACCCATCCGGGTGCCGTCCAGCAGGGGGTCACCCACAGGGATGGCCTTGGTCCTTTTCACAACTTCTTCAAGGAACTGGGGCATGATCTCTCTTTGCACGTACACCCTGGTGCCATTGCAGCAAACCTGCGCATAGAAATAGAGAATGCATCTGATCGGGTCGAGCTCGACACTGTACAACAGATAAATGGCACAACTGCCTCACCTGCCCCTGTGTCAGGAAGTTTGCCATCAGTGCTCCCTTCACCGCGTTCTCCAGCTCACAGTCTTTGAAGATCAGGAGGGGAGACTTCCCTCCCAGCTCCAAAGTCACATGCTTCACCCCCTTTGCAGACATCTCCATGACCTGAGGGCAAGGAGGACACACTGGGCATCAACGACCAACAGCAGGGACAATAGAAGCCTCAGGGAGCCCTTCTAGAGGGTGTTCACGGTGTGTCTTGACGAAGCAATGGTTTCCCAATACCAATCTGTGTTTTTTCGCTCTCCAAAAAGTGAGCCAATGTAGAATCATCTCTCATATATGATTTTCTCAAACTACACATTGTGGCACCACGACGCGCGATGAACCCTCGAGCTTTTATAACCACGGCCTTCAGATGGTTCTGACCCAAATTCTAGACTGATCTGACTAAGATCCCAAACACGTACGGGAATAATGATAACTATCCAGTATCGGAGGGAAGACGTCGTCTTTGTCTCACTGGCCCCCTCCAACCCTCCACGAAAAACTCTTTGGACAACAATTGAATGACATTTTTTGATTTCAAAACTGAACTTCGCCAAAAAGCGACAGTTTGCAGTTATGGTGTTTATACAGTGAATAGCAGTTTCTACTTCCCGGATTATTCAGTCTTTGACATTCATTTCACCAGGGTCAAAATAATCTTACGTTATCAATATCACCAGTCTGCATCATTGGTGATTTAATAGGTATTATTGCCATGTTCTACCACCGGGCTTAAGGCAAGGCAAGGCAATTTTATTTGTAAAGCGCTTTTCATACACAAGGCAGCCTCAAAGTGCTTCACATCATAACATTTCATACAATAAAGTGAAATAAAATGCTGGAATTAAAAGACAATTAAAAACAGCAAATAACATTAAAAATTAAAATCTTATTTAAATTGTTTAATTAAAAGCAGAGGTTAAAAGTGCAATGTAGGTAAAATTTAGCAGAAGGCGAAGCTGAACATAAAAGTTTTCAGTCTTGTTTTAAACGTGGTCAGAGTTGGGGCAAGTCTTAAATCTTCAGGAAGTTTATTCCAGCTGTTTGTTGCGTAGTAACTAAATGATGCTTTCCCATGATTTGTATTTACTCTGGGAATCACTAACAGATTGGTGTCAGAAGATCTTAAGGATCTTGAAGGTTTATGTAGTGGAAGCATATCAGTGATATACTTTGGCCCTAAACCATGTAGTGATTTATATGTGAGCAGTAGGATTTTGAAATTAATTCTCTGACATACTGGGAGCCAATGTAAGGATTTAAGAATTTGTGTAATGTTCTCACATTTTTTGGTCTTTGTTAGAACTCTAGCAGCAGCGTTCTGAACAAGCTGGAGCTGCCTGACAGGTTTTTTTGGAAGACCTGCAAGGAGACCATTACAATAGTCTAGCCTACTAGTTATAAAGGCATGTACAAGTGTTTCTAAGTCTTGAGCTGACATGAGCCCTCTAAGTCGTGCTACATTTTGTAGGTGGTAGTAGGCCGATTTTGTTACTGATTTGATGTGACTCTCCAAGTGTAAATCTGAATCCATAATAACCCCCAGATTTCTGGCTTTATTTGATGTTTTCAGGGACATGGAGTGAAGGTGTTGGGTTACTTTAAACCTTTCTTTTTTAGCACCAAATACAATGATCTCAGTTTTGTCTTCATTTAGTTGTAGGAAATGTTGACACATCCAGTCTTTGATTTGCTCGATGCACTGGCACAGAAGATCTATGGGGCGATAGTTGTTTGGTGATAGCGCTACGTAGATTTGGGTGTCATCAGCGTAGCAATGGTGGTCAATTTTATTTCTTTGCATGATTTGTCCTAGTGGGAGCATGTAGATGTTGAATAAAGTCGGCCCCAAGATCGAACCTTGGGGGACTCCACACGTTACGTTGGTTGTTTCTGATACAAAGTCACCAATGGAAACAAAATAGTTCCTGTCTTGTAGATATGACCTGAACCAGCTTAAGACTGTGCCTGAGAGCCCCACCCAGTTTTCCAACCTGTCCAAAACTATTGAGTGGTCGACAGTATCAAATGCAGCACTGAGGTCTAATAGCATTAATATTGAAATTTGCCAGAGTCTGTGTTAAGACGGATGTCATTTACAACTTTAATAAGGGCCGTCTCTTAAACCCCGGTACGGCCTCTGCACCTTCTTGCCCGTTGGCACACTGCCGGTGAATGAGACTTTGGCGACCCCCGGGTGGTGGCAGAGCAAGGTGCCGGTGTCCGCCCCGCCCTGCACCACACAGAAGAGCCCGTCCGGGACCCCCGCCTCCTTGTAAATCTCAGCCAGAATGACGGCGGTCACAGGAGTCATGGGAGAGGGCTTGAACACCATGGCGTTACCTAAACGCAGCGCAGCACAAAGTTTAAAAAGGGGACACATCCTCGCCGGGCAGACACGATGATCTCAAATCGCCGCCGTTAGACACTCACCACATGCCAGAGCAGGGGCGGACTTCCACGACGCCACCTGGAAGGGGTAGTTCCACGCACCGATTCCCACGCACACGCCCAGGGGCTCCCTCCGGGTGTAGGCAAACGCTCCGCCGGGAAGCTGGATGTGCTGGCCTTCAACGCCCCAAACGCCACTTTAAACACAACTTTTTGTGAAGTGAAAAGAAGAAAACCTGGTTCTTTTACACACCTGCGAGTGTGCCAGCCATGCCAGCGTAGAACTCGATGCACTGCCATGCGATGTCGATGTCCACCAGCGCTTCAGTGATGGACTTGCCGTTGTTGATCACTTCCAGCTTTGCTATCGCCTCCCTTCGTTCCTGTTTGTATTGGAATAACAAACAAAAAGCGGTGAATTAGAACAAACTATTCAAACATTAACGTGGTCATTTGCTTCTATTGCATGTATATAGATTTAATTATTTATTTATGCAATGACTGAGGTTAAAATCCAAACTGATACGGAGACAGCAAAGGTCTGTTCTGTGCGTATGTAGGTCAGCAGGAGGTGGTGGGGGGGTCGCGGGGGTGAATAATGAATAACTAGTGTCTTACTGCAGGCTTGCTCTTTATTTGTGTTGCATAACATTGAAGTCCGGCTGGTTTCCAGAGAGCACGTGAATGAAACGGCTCCACCGGCTCACCCTGATAATGCGCGCGGCCTCCAACATCACCCGAGCCCTCTCCGTGCCCGCCATCTTGCGCCATTGCAAGTAGGCGCCGTGGGCGCTCTTTATGGCCTCGTCCACCTCCTCAGAGCCACAGGGAACCATCTGACACAAGACGCGGCCTGCACAGACGAGATCAGCTGCTTTACAGAGCGACACCAGGGTGGAGGAACCACATATTCAATGGTGGTTCCCTCCTACATAGATCCAGTTGTGCAAAGGATCTAATAGCGCTGTTGGTGTTTGAGGAGCGTCCTAAGCTTTCTGTAAACAGGTCGTAACATCTTTTTCAAACGGTTGGTTCCAGATTTCCTTTTGATTATGATGCTGGACAGCTTGATGAATAATAAAGCATTATATTTTCAATCAAACTGGAATCTGCCATGTAACCAATGACATTTCAGTCAGGAGAAGGTAGATTTCCTCTACTGTAGATAAGTGTACAATGAAGTTGCATAACTTGTAAGTGCTTTGGGGGATTGTTAAGTTAACTTAAAAGTTACAGCTAAAATGACTTAAATCCTAAAGCTTGAGGCCCAGGTATCCTACATTGCAGGTGTTACGTCCCTACTGGTTTGTATTCACTAAACAGCGGCAGATGTATTCTGCCTCGGTCACCTGATTCGTCACACATTCGCAAACATATTGCTGAAGAAATGCATAACGTTTCCATTGCAGCGATTGTATGAGTGAGCACTTCATCACTGCCACATATGAAGAGAAACATTGACGAAAATATATTTATTAAAAGATCGCCACAACCTGGATCCGAACCCTGCAGAGTAAAATAATAAAACGTTCCATCACGGCTGCGCTGAACTTTGAACTGCGTTCGAATACATTTTTATAATCACGTGACGTATGAAGCAGCACGTAACGGACCGGACTCCAGTTCTTACCCGTCGCGGGTTCGAACACGGGCTCCGCGTGTTTCTCCTGCCTGGGCTTCACCCGCTTTCCACCCCAGAAGTTCAGCGGGTCGGTGATGAGCACGGTGCCCGTGGCGGCTCCGGCCATGGTGTCGAGGACTGACTGGGCCATGGTGCGCGGGACAGGACCTGCAGGGACGCGGAGACGATCCGGCGAAGTTGCTGTTGGTCGGACGACGGAGACAAATATGTAGGGGGAGTCATCACACGGTGACGCGCCCTGATTGGCCCTCCTGGAGGGGGCGTGTCCTATTAGGGCCACCAAACAAAACGAAGCCATAGAGGCCGAAATGATGAGAAAAAAAGAAACTTCTTTGGACGATAAATGGGCTTTCTTATAACTCAGAGATGTAGGTGTAAAGATTAAAACGCAGCTGGGTATTTATTCCTTTGCACTGCATTTGTTTAAATCTATTCTTCTGTCATCTTCTATATTCTAGTGGGAGCTTAAGCCGCCAGGTCGACTGCAGTACCAGTTTCATAACTTTAGTCCTTTTCTGTTCTCTACATGTGTGGAAATCCCTCGTGGATGTGACAACGTGCAGAGTTCATCAAGCAATAGGGAGTCCTGCAGCGCCTCAAAGTGGGCAAAGAAGGCAGTGCAGAGGGAATGTGGCTTTCCAAAGGAGAGGAGAAGAAATGTATGAATTTCAAAACACGAAAGAGTAATCAAACTTTATTACTATGTAAGAAATAAGGATACAGACAATTACATACAATAATACTGACAAATGGATCAATGTTACTGCACCAATGAATCATTCAAATCTCAAAACGATGTCTGGCTTGTGCGGAACACAAGGTATCATCTGTATCCTTTATTAATCAATGGAATCAGACTTATTTTCGAAGCGAGAACACCTTAAAAGTTAAATAAAACTAAACATGACTGAGAAATCCAGCAGAAGGAAGTGATACAGCCGTTCGCTCCAGCCCTACGGAATCAGTTCCGTCTGCGCCCTGAGGACGGAGCCACGACCGTGTGCACCAACGGCGCCGCTGAACCCGCCTGGTGATCAGGAGAACTTTGCTGCTTGGGGAGGAGGTCCTAGGAAGCCTCCAGCCTGCTTGGTTGCAGCTCTGGAAGGCGCGAGGCCAAGCATCTTCTGGATGTTCTGGGGAGAAGAGGCAGAGGAAGAGGAAACATTTTAAATCTTTACCCAGGACTGGTAACCCAGGAGAGGAATGTAACATGCTGGGTATTTTATTTTTTTTTTTTAAATAAATTAGTGGAAATAGCAGATTATGAGAAAACGAAAAAGATGGACAGTGCTGTTCTTAATTTCTTTGGGGGCCAAAATGTTCACAACCTTGTATAAAATGATCTAAAATACTGCAATTTAGTCGTTCCGGTTAGTAATTGCATGGCCATAAGTACATATAGATAACAAAATTTAACATTTACCATATATTTTTGCATCTCATTTTACATTTGTGCATCATGTAACATACACAAAATCTCGCTAGCAAGAAAGGACACAACATGCTGCTATTCAAGAACAAATCATCTTGAATCTAGATACAATTCATGTGACTTTGACCTACAATGACTCCTCTTAATGTTTGGCCCCCACTGCCTCCCGCCGGGTCTAAGGGGGGACGTTACCTGTCTGATGGACATGGTGCAGAGGATGTAAAGGAAGATAAAGGAGCAGTCCGTGTAATCCTCCCCCAGCAGGTTGCGGTGCGACAGCCCCTGGATGTAGGAAAGGGGCACGAATGGCAACTTGGCCACGACTCTTCCGTCAAAGCTGAACAGAACAAATGAGAAGTTTTTCACCAGACACACAAGCTTCGCTTTGGCCAAATTCAAACCACAATTCCTCATCGACACAGACGGAAAAAAAGTGGTCACCGTTGGACTTTTTGGACTTTTTATTTCGATTGATCGTTTCTATCAATCAAAAAATGAAGACGTAAAATCAACTTGATTAACTTTGTGCGTCACTTACATGGAGTTGAACATGCCCATCAACGCTGTGAAGCAGAAGCCTATCGCGAACATTGACTTCATGCGCACCTGCAAACCAAAAATGGAAATTTGAAGTCAGGTCACATCTGACTACAAATACAAGGACAAATGCAGTTTGGCAATACAACAACAAGATGACTAATGTAAAGGTGTAGGTAGGTAAGCCTGTGAATGCTGTCTAATACAGCCAAAACAATCACATTCACAGGAATGATCTTATTTGGTATGTTAAAGACAGATTTGTCTCAAGTCTAAGCATTGCCTATTTGTTGTGGAGCGGTGTCTCACCATGGACAAGTCTCTGTTGTTGTTCTTCAGCTTCTCTTCCTGTCTTTCTGTAATACATTCAAAGACAGACACACTTGTCAAAGGGAAGAAATGCTGAGAGGTTTTAGCTTTTTGGTTTGCCCGAGAGCAATTTATTTTCTCCTCCAATATAACTAACGGTAAACTTACCAATTTTCTTCTTTTGTTGACGTCCTGCAGATTCAGTGATGGTTTCCTTTTTCTTCTCAACTAATGCAAAAGACATGCAAAAACACCCAAAAGCGAATGCATTAAAAGTCTACAATGGAGAAATTACAGTATGACGTTCACATGTGAGTCACTTACGTTTTTTGCTCTGTTTTTCCACTTCAGCCTTTAGCCTCTTGTACTTTTCAGTGCGATACACTAAAACCCAGGTGATACCTGGTGGGGGACAAAGGAGGGTTGTGTATCAAATAAAAACAACTCTTTTGGACCACTGTCACAATGGCACATCGTGGGTTACATATTGGGCAACATGCATTAATACGTTATACATTTGTGAGAGATTACTTTACAAATAACCCTGCTTAATGTTCCTGTGTTAAGAGATTGTATGAAGCAGCTGCATATAGTGTAGCTACCGAATGCTTGGAAGGTTAAAACAAGTTATTAAAAAAGTACTTTTATTCGACAACTTTTACGACGCGATCACCTGGTTAACTCTTTTCGGAAATTATACCAATAAAAATGTGTGTAAATTTTTTTTTATATTCAAAAGCAGAACATTACGTTCTCAGAGGGTATTAATCAAGCATAGTTTCTACTATATTATGAATAACGTAATTGCAACTCTTTTATTGTGGAAATGTAAACCGGAAGTTATTTCCGCCGTCTCACAAACTAACGTCAGCTATTAACGTAGCTTAGTTGGCTAATTACGCTGAATAGCAAGCACACAACTGGTCCTCAAAGGCATATAAAGTAGCCACGAATCAATATTAATAAGATGAAAAACACGGCTGCACTATCGAATAGAGAAACAATGGAGAGTAAATGCGTTTGCTGGACGGTGATAAATGCCTCCATACTGGAGCCGCCTGTCGGACTGTCGGGAGGATTTCACTCACCTTCGGCCAACAGCGCGGTGCAAACAGAGATGAACACGATTAGAATAGTGTCAGCAAACATGGTGCTCATGTTGCTTATGTCCCGATTACCGTCCCGTTCAGCCGGCCGCACAGGCAGGAGGTCAGTTTGTCATTCCAGGCTACACCGCGGCCAGCGAGCACATTACAGCGGGCTCAGACTCACTGGGCTGACGTCAGCGCTCCGGAGGAGGTCACGCGTGTAGAAAGTACTTCCGGTTCAATGCAATACGTTCCTTTAATACAAAGGTCGTGTATATGTCTATATACATACATATCTTTATATATTTCCTTTTACAGGATGGTATTATAGCAGAAGAGGCTAATTTCCCTCTCTCTTTATATTTTCTATATACATATATATGTACATATATAGATATGTAAATGTATATTTGTGTATGCTTACATCCAGGACATGGTGAAACCCTACATCCCAACCCGCACTCTCCGCTCTGCATTTGCAAAACTACTCGTCCCTCCCTCACTGAGAGCAAAATGTCACCAGGGGGACATTGTGGTTTCTGTAAATTATTGGTTTGTTATATTTTAGCATGGTTTGGTTTTGCATTTTAGCATGGCTTGTTTTTACATTTTAGCGTGGTTTATTTTATTACATTTTAGCGTGGTTTGTTTTATTACATTTTTGCATGGTTTGTTTTATTACATTTTTACATATTAACCCACCTTTCAGTAAACTACATGCACCTGGAGGGACTAATCAATTACAGAGAGCCCTGGCCAACCACATTACACAATGAAAGGACCTCCCCTCTCCAATTAACACAGCTGCTATGAAGGACACTAAGCGCCACAGAAAGGAGAAGCCACGGGAAATCAAGTGAGAGGGCGGCAAGACATCGGAAGAGCAAGCAGGGTGCAACGAGGAGAGGAACGAAACGGACTGGACACCTCACCCAGGAAAGAAACGGAACCGGAAACAAGAAGAAAGGGCAAGACCGATCAGCAGCAGTGGCTGGTCGAATTCTTAAATCCTTTTAGTACTTTGTTCCAGCTGGACTTTTAATATTGTAGTTATTTATGGGTTTTTAGTTAATAATAAAATCCTCCTTTTAAACCACGCTTTTAAGTCTTGTGATCCATGCTGTTCTTCCTCTGGTGAACAAGTCCCCTGTTTTATGGAGACCTAGACTCCGCAACTAGGTGGCGTTGCTGGTACCTTTTTTATAAATGTATCTTATTTTTGTTAGGTTTTAAGTCCCCCGCCTCACAGGGCTGACAAAAACACTCGACTAGATCTCGACTCTTTGCTGTCCGGTGGAACGAGCTATGTGAAGACACCAGGACCGCAGAGATCCTTCACATCTTCCGCCGCAAACTAAAGACACACCTCTTCAGACTCTACCTCGACTAAAGACTAACAAATTGTAGCACTTAAATTGTACTTGTAACGTCACTCATCTATAGCAAATTGTAAATTGGCTTATTTGAGGAAATTGCACTTTCTTGTTTCTTGTTCTCCTGAGTTTGTACCCTATGGTTGAATGCACTTATTGTACGTCGCTTTGGATAAAAGCGTCCGCTAAATGACATGTAATGCAATTGTGTACTGTATACAATGCTTACATTGCAAATTACATGTAAAGTACATTATTTCGGTACACACATATGTGTGTGGGTATATACATCTATATACAACGCGTACATACATATACGTTCATGTATATGTATATACGCGTGCGTGCGCGTATTACCGTAAATTGCACGGGCAGATGAGCAGGTGCACCCAAAATCTTGAAATAAATACTTGTATTCAAACGTGAAAATACCACCATGCAGGTGTCGTGGCAGTTAGTGCGTTGAGCTTTTATGCAACTTTGATCCCTCATCTGATCGACGTAAGCAGCATCATGTCATGACACGCCCCCCCCCCGCATCGTCACAAAGCACCGCCGAATGGGAGGAGCGCGCGAGCATCTCCCGCACCCGGGTGAGAGTGTTTTTAGAGGGCCGCGGCGTGTCGCAGATGAAGCATGGCAGGAGACAGCGAGACAAAGCAAGGTGACCAAGCCGCAAACGAGAGCGTCGATCGGCAGCCGTTCCTCATCGGCGTGGCCGGAGGGACAGCCAGCGGGAAGGTGGGTGGCCGGTAGCGCACGCGTTTTCATGCGTTGGCTGTTGGTTTGAGTGAGTGAGTGTCTCTGCGAGCCTCTACGCGTGGATCAGATATAAAACAAATAAAGATGACACGCTTTTTTATTTTCTTCTGTGAAATAATCAAAACGTATTAATCCTTTTTCAGTTGGAATGATTAGACGGAAAATGTTGACTGTAATGAGTGTTTAGACCAGAAAACTGCTTCTATTTTATCATAATATGATTACACGTGCATTGTCCACATAGGTCATTATCTTAGGTGATTAATACAGGTGCATAGTTTAATATGTGGAAATCAAACTTAAGGACTCCAATATATTGCTGATATGAAAATAGATTTTAATTACTTGGCGTTACCTGCACAGTCTATCAGCACCTGAAGCCAGACAACAATAGAACACATTTACACACTCTGAAAGAAGAAGTTCAATATAACCAACCAGCTGTAATGTAAGCCGTACATTTATGAATTAAATACCCTGGTGATGATTTTTTGTTTTTTATGATCTGTGTTCTCTGCTGCTGTTTTTTTAACCTCTTTGTGATACTGCTGTAACCTCTGTTTCAAGCGCTCGCTGCCTTGTCACCTGCCCTCATTTGTCAAGCCGGCTCACACCAATTGTGTATTTATTGTCATTAGCCTAAACATGATGCTGCGTTCAATCATGTCTGGCGATCCAAGGTCGGTCAATAAGTGATGTGATCTCTCTCTTGTTGACCAGACACGGACACATTGGTTTTGTAGTTGCTTGAGTCTGTCACACATTGTCTGGACATCATGTGCAATAGAAAGTGTTCATTGCTTCAACTCGACGTGCGCTTTAAAGGTGGTCGACCCAATCACATGTTGGACAAGGAAGCTATTTGCGTTTCTTCTTTCAAATGTCGTGTAGGTTGACTTTTTAGGTGGTTGAGTCAACACCGTTTATTGTGGGTGGGACTTCCTGGTACCCGTGTTTTACTCCCACAAGAGTAACCGCTCACAGAGACACCTGCTCTCCCACACACACACACACACGCCGGCGCCCGTGTGGGCATCTGTCTACCAACCCAAAGGCCGGCGGGTTTCCCATGCCGCCTTTTCTTTTTGTTCTCCTTTTGTGTGACTAGTCGTCGGTGTGCAGCAAGATCATGGAGCTGCTCGGCCAGAACGAGATCGACCACCACCAGCGGCAGGTGGCCATCCTCAGCCAAGACAGCTTCTACCGGGTCCTCACCCCGGAGCAGAAGGCCATGGCCCTCAAGGGCCAGTTCAACTTTGACCACCCAGGTGTGTCAGTGGTAATCAGCTTTGTCACGTGCCGTGTCAGGGTGATCAATGATGTTTCCTGCTGGGAAACGTCTGCCGTGTCCTCTGAGAGGCCCTTCCAGCTGCTAATCTGCAGGGGTTAAATATCCTGCTGCCCAAATGATTTTAACCGCTTTGTTCTCTTTCCTTCTGTATAGATGCCTTTGACTGCGACCTTATGATCGCGACTTTGTGGGACCTCAAGGAGGGAAAAACCGTACACATCCCGGTTTATGACTTTGTTTCTCATTCCAGGTGAAAAAGTCCTATCCATACAGCTATACGTATATATGTGCATATATTTGTTTTAGCTGAGGCACTATTAAAGAGGACTCCAATGCGCCTGAGTGTAGCAGTGACATTAACTTTGAAAGTGCTAAAAACTAAATTCAGAGTGTATTGTGTCCCTTGAAAGAAAAAGCTACAAATGTTTCCTTTGACCAAGACAAACCGTAGCACTCTTGGGTCGAGCCAATGTCACGAGGAACCCTCGTGTTTCTATGTTTCGTCGTTTGCGCGGCAGGAAGGAAGAGACGGTGACCGTGTACCCTGCTGACGTGGTGCTGTTCGAGGGCATCCTGATGTTCTATTCTCAGGAGATCCGAGACCTCTTCCAAATGAAGCTGTTCGTGGACACCGACGCGGATACGCGTCTGTCTCGAAGAGGTGAGGCATCCGAGTACGAACCGAACCGCACCCCGGTGTCTAAAGTTGCATCTAAAGTCAATGCAATCCCAAAAGCCATTGATCGTAAGTTAAAGATGGCTCCTCCCTCCTCTTATCTCCTCTACCAGTGCTGCGTGATATAAGTGATCGTGGACGGGACCTGGAAGGCGTTTTAGCACAGTACATTACTTTTGTGAAGCCTGCGTTTGAGGAGTTCTGTCTGCCAGTAAGTGCTCTTCTCCGTCGACTGTAACTCTACTCGTTGGAATCAATGTGGCCCGGAGCCTCGACTCACGGTCCAACCTTTTTGTCCTTTTTGTCTTTGGCGCTATTCAGACAAAGAAATATGCTGACGTGATCATACCGAGAGGAGTTGACAATCTCGGTGAGTATTTGTGCTTTGGGATCCAGATTTTTAGACACTTGTCTGAACAGTGTTACCAAAAAGGGCACAGCTGTATTTGTCCTCTAAACTGCTGCTGTGGAAACCAAACCGGTGTGTCTGTTGCCTGTTGACTCAAGAAGGGAACTTTGTAACCATCCAAAGGAAACGATGGTCTACAGATCATGAAGCAGGATACTTACCCGGATCGAGCCCCAGTTTATGCACGTTGTGCGTAATCTTTATATTCCAATTATACCCAGTCAACCGTGAGTCTACAGCCATGTTGGCAACGGCTGTGATTCTGTTGCATTCGCACGGAGTCTGACGGCAAACCGGATATCATTTTAATGGAAGAGATCAAGACTCTAAAGTTTTCAGCTAAGAATACCCACATATTCTTTTTAGAATTGCAAATGAAGCTGCATTCTGTACTTTAGCGTAAAATAATACACAAGACTGTTCTATTTTTATGTTTTTCCATCACCATAATAATATTATTTTGTCATCCATGTTTTGTTTTCGCACTACTTCTCCCTGGATTTATGAGTATGAGTTTATTCTCTCGATTGGTAGTTTTAAATCTTAAAATACAGCATCATATTCATTTATTAAACAATGTTCCCTTTGCCAGCAAAGTGGAGGTATGTGTTAGGGAGAGGCTAACCTGTGATTGACAGGTTGCTGTCACGTAAAATGCGCAGGCTGGGAGGGAAGTCATCGGTATGCTGGCGTTCTGTCACGAAACAAGGCAGACAAGACTTTCTATAATTGTCTGAACAACATTTCAAGGCAATCCATCCAGTATTTCTCGGTTGGGGCCGTATTTCAGTCTCAATACGGCCTCAACCGACAGGAAATGTTTCTTTTCTGCACATGCAGTGGATGAAACCGCAGTTTTATCGAGTTACCTTCTGGGTTTCAAAGATCGCTGTGTAGGTGTTTTGACTCTGATGCAATGGTCATACAAAGGACACGCATGCTGAGCCTGACTGCGCTCTCTCCTTGTCTCTCGATACAGTTGCCATTAATCTTATAGTTCAGCACATCCAGGATATTCTGAACGGCGGTTTGACGAAGCGGCTGAACGGATGGGTGAATGTCTACGCGACGACGAAGAAGCAGCCGAACATGGAGCCCAGCAGCCGGCCCCACTGAGCGCAGCGCTGTGGTTCACAAGGCAGGACTGATTTCCAGGGACACTCGAGGCCTCTTCTTGCTGTGATTCTGTTTGGACACAAGAAATGAAATGATCCCTTCATGGCGTTTAAAGCCGTCTTCAGTTAGGTTTTTCTCTTCGGTTTGTGTACTGCATGGGAGGAGGGGTGTGGAGGGATGCAAAGGGGCGAACTTGCAATTCAGTTCAATATTGCTGCTGGGCTTCCCCGCAGCACTGACGCTGTTACGGTGTCTAAATAGGACTTCAGAACACTGGATGGCCTTTAAGCATGCAATGAATGCATTCAGGCGACGTGCTGTTTAAAGGCAGGGCCTCACCGTGGGTGGAAGGTGCACCGTGTGACCTCTTTAGCAATGCAACCGGTCATGTCTGTTTTTTCTTTTCTTTACGAGATCTGTGTATTTCGGACGTTTGTCAAATTATTTGTCAATTTAAACAACCGATTCCCACCTCAAACCATCTGATGTATGAAATCACCAAAGAGCCGTTTTCTCGACCGTCTTTGCGGACAGATTTATTTTCCTTTCAATGTGATACTGACGTTACCGTAACTCATTTTATAAGATGTTGTTATGAAATAACCACATGGTATTATTTTTCTTTTTGATTTTCTTGAACTGGAATATTTTGTCATGATAAAGTTCTCAGGTACTCTGTTTGCTTTGTCTGAGTTTGGGGGTCGTGCATTTTTGGTGTTCCGCCTCACTGCTGACCACGCAGCCGGTTAGCTGCAAGGAAGCGGTTTTGATTCATGTATTATGTTAATAATGGGTTAGTGTTTGATATAACAATGCATTTGCAGTATTGTAAAAGTTCAGTACAAGTAAAAACGGCCTATGCAATATTATATATTTAATCATATTTTCATTTCACTATGTGTTGGCCAACATGAATGCATATAAATATCATGGTTTCTTCCACGGTGACGTTCCTGACTGGCAAAACAATATTTAGATCTCCTTTATGATAAAAAAAAACACATTTGAATGAAATGAGTTTTGTGGTCAACATTACAGGTTATGAACCTGGAACGCATCATGCAAGGTCAAAGGTTACAGCCATGTCCCAAATCCAGCAACTATGGAGCGCTTTCAATGTAGTACATAAAATGCAGTATGCCAAAAATCCCACGATGTGCGACCTCCCTGGTGCCACAATGCGTACTGTACACTATACGGGGTACTAAAACTGGTTTTATCCTTATTGTTTGTATGCTGTTGATGGTACGGAAAAGACTGCAGACAACTGGAACGTGTTTTATTTATTTTTTCATTATGGATTTATTGTAAAACGTATCAAAGAATAAGGTAACAGAAAATATTTTCACTGTCTCTCTGAAGACATTCTGAATCAGAAGTTTTACAATACAGGTATTCTACCATTCAAACTGATTTATACTGACTGGAAAAACAACATACTACAAAGACCAGTATACCGCATACTGTATAGCAGTATGCAAGTGGCGTGCATAATACCTCACAACCGTTCTCTACCTTCAAAAGAGAATAAAATTATATTTTGTTTCCTTGGAAACGACAGTGAACATGCCACTCTGTATAAAAAGGTATCTGCTTTGTTTACATCCTGGCACTTCGGTGTGAATACCTCCGGCGCGTCACTCCCGGACAGCGGCGTTCTGGCCGAAGAGGCCGCGGTACATTTCGCTGCGGGCCTCGTCACTCACAGAGCTGTGGTCAATAGGAGCCATGAAGTTCACCAGCTTGGTGTGGATGTCGAATCGGACTTTACGCCCCTTGCTGGCTTTGGTATCCACCTTCTTTTTGATCTTGCTGCGCAGCTTCTGTATGGCGAGCCACTGCCTGCCCATGGCGACCTGGTCATTGGGGTCCGACGCGCTCGTCTTGCGCTCGATCAGGTCTCTCAGCAGCTGGTGGTAGAAATCGTCGTCGTCGAATATCTCCTCGTCCAGGTCGTTCAGATGCGTGTTCGCTTTGAGCTGCGGCGGCGGCTCCTCGCCCTCGCCGGGAACGCTTTCACGGGTGAGAGCGGCGTCCTGTTTTTGCCCCAGGACTCTGTACTCGGAGCGTCGGGTCTGCGTGCGCCGCACCAGCCTCTCGTTGTCCATCAGCACCTGCTCCACCTGGGTCAAGATGTTTCTGTCGAACGCGCCGAAGCCCTTGCTGCTTTTGCCCATGATCAGTCGGGTTTTGTCGTGCCACTTCTGCAGCGTGGCGTTACGGTAAGGCTGGAACGCGGCAAAACGCTTGGCCATGAAGTCCGGATATTCCGCCGTCTCCAGTTTTCGTTTGGGCGCTCCACCCATGTGCGGGGGCGCCTCTTGATCCTCATTCTCGTCGCTGATTATCTCCTCATCTTCACCCGGAGCTTCTGGCGTCCCCAGGGCGATGGCCCTGGTGTCTGCGTTCTGGTAGAGCAGCTGGTCGTGGAGCTCCAGCAGGGACCTTTGAAGGGCTTTCAGAGCTTTGTGGGTGTTCTTCAGCTCCCCAGCAAGTTCCGCTCCCCCCCTCCTCTTGAACTCTGGGAAGGTCTGCGTCTGTGGAAGCTGGTTGGCGGTTACCAGAGCTTTCTGGATTTTGATGCGCCCCTCGAGCAGTTGGTCCCACAGGGCCAGCTGGTCCTTCACAGCTTTTCCTTTCTCCACCTCCTTGTCCACTTTCTCTTGACAAAACGTGCGGGCCGTTACTTCATCCATGGCGTCTTTGTCATCTTCCTCGCTGCCGTCGCTCTCCTCTTCGCCACTGTTGTCGTCGTCGTCGCCACCATCATCATCATAATCATCATCTTCTTCACTCACACCCAAGTCATCCATGTCCTCGGTCAGTTTGTGGAAGTCCACTCCCTGAGGAAGCGTAATGTCTGGAACCTTCGACTTAGACGCCAGTTTAGCATCACTGCCTGCCAACTCCTCCTCCTCCTCATCCTCCTCCTCGAAGTCGTTTTCGTCGTCATCATCATCATCATCAGCTCCCTCATCCCCCAAAATATCTGCTTCTTCTAGCCCTTCTATGCTCTTTGCCTCCTCCTCATCATCATCATCGTCGTCGTCGTCGTCACCAGATGCCTCAATATCCATCAGCAGTTGTTTACGAGAGATCTTCTTCCCCACGTACCGTTTGTCCGTATCTGAGAGTAAGGATGTGTTGTGCTTTCGCAAGGCGCTGAGGCCGACCCCGTCCCCGTCCTCATTGAATCCTTCTATCACTTTGGCTTTGGTCAACTCATCGTCGTCATCCTCTGGATCCGCAAATTTAGGCAAAGGATTCAACAAATGCTCAAGCTCAACAGAAAATGAGGCCGCCATGGATTATAACGAATTACAACCACCGCCACACGTGTCGGAGCCGTTTTCTGGTGAGAGGAGTAATGACATCAGTAATATGCGACGACTAGTAAAAGTCGCGTGCCATTTTTCCCTGAGTTTGGTCTGTTCAATGCGGAACCCTTATTCCAACGGGAATTTAGTCCAAAAGTAATCTAAATGCCCAAGAAGAGAGGTTATTTGACATTTTGCCATTTTAAAGGAGGGTATTGAATAGGGAACTTAATTTCAGGGACAGTAAGAATGTCCACTGTGTAGTGACTAACGCCTGGAAGACATCACACGGGGCACCAAATCCTACAGCCCCCTGACCAGCTGCGCATGCGTACATGGGTGGCGAGGCAAAGAGCTTCTTGCCGTCTGAGTTTTGTTCCGCGCACTTGGCTTGAGAACGTACTTTCTGGAGAGTCAAAATGTCAACAAGTGACTTCTATTTGAGATATTATGTCGGACACAAAGGGAAGTTTGGTCACGAGTTTCTGGAATTTGAATTCAGACCCGACGGTATGTACAATTTGGCGGTAAAGTTAATGCAAATGTGTTAGCTTGTTCTAAGCTAACGTCGCTAGCCACCAGGTAACTGCTAGGCCGCAGCCTACTCGAGACGAGCTGCTAGTCACAGATGATTTATTTTCTTTCACCCACGGTGTAACTTTGCAGCAACTAATTAATATAAAGTGGATTAATACTGCAGGATATAGGTTTATAGATGCAGCAATGTTTTGAGACATATCGCATGCCGTATGGGCGCCATGTGGCCTACGGGGATGTTAACAAACCGAGTGTCAAAGTGTTGCGTTGTTTCAAGTGATTTAACTGTAAATTGAACGTTTTCTTTCAGGTAAACTGAGGTACGCGAACAACAGCAACTACAAGAATGACGTCATGATCAGGAAAGAGGTACGTCGGTGTGCACAAACCAGTTACTGTAAACCCAATGATACGCAGTTCGATGTTACTTTCATCGTTTAATGAATGGCCCGTCAACATACAAACCATGTCTTTGACTGGTTTCGGGGTCCTTTCATGCGTTATTGTATGTAACACGCAGTGGGTCATTAAGGGGCTCGTTGGTCACTGTTTACCAAGCAGTGATTCCTTGTTTCTCAGTCAAAACACAGCAAACGCACGGAAAATCTGAATTTGGTATTAAGACGATCTGTATAATATATCCTCACACATCATATCTGTTTCAATTGTGTTGCCCGGCCCTGCGCGTTTATGATGTTTGACCCCGTCCATCTCTGCTCCGTGTACCAACCCAGGCTTACGTACACAAAAGCGTGATGGAGGAGCTGAAGAGGATCATTGATGACAGCGAGATCACCAAGGAAGATGACGCTCTGTGGCCGCCTCCCGACAGAGTTGGCAGACAGGTTTGTGACTCAAGTCATCATCCATGATGACCAGATGATCTACTATCTCTATCTTCTGGCTTGAAAAACTTGTAATGACCTGATGTTTTTTAAATGGGGGTCACGCATTTGTACAGCACGTGTAGAGGACCCCATTTCTCAACATTTTATCAACCAGTTATTTCTTTCTCACATAGTCGAACACGTCACAGATGTCCTCAACACTGGCACTGTAGTAAATCAACTCTGTCCGAATTTTCACAGGAACTGGAGATCGTCATTGGAGACGAGCACATTTCTTTCACAACTTCCAAAATTGGCTCTTTGATTGACGTCAACCAGTCAAAGTGAGTAATGAACTCCGTGGTGGGGAGTCACGGTATACTTGTTAGTGACACACCGCTTAACTTTCAAAATGTCTCTTTGTTTCAGGGACCCTGAAGGTCTTCGCGTGTTCTATTACCTGGTGCAAGATCTGAAATGTCTTGTATTCAGTCTCATCGGCCTACACTTCAAGATCAAGCCCATCTAAATGTGGATTTTGCTCATTTTAATTGATTTAGTTTGTTTCTGTTGTTGTACTACCGTATTTGTACATTTGTTTTGAGTGGAACTTTTTTTATTCTAAATAAAGGGTGACAAAAATCTTCTGTGACTCTTAATGTGTGATTTGCTGTTATCCACACCATGCCTTAACCTCCATTCAATATTTATAGTATATATTTTATTCTATTGAATAGAAATGCTTTTAGTAAAATATTGTTACCAAATTGGAATGTTCTAGGAGCATATTTTGTAAATGTAATCATTTTTTAATAACAATGATACTAGTTTATTGTTACAGTGACTGACCTCAATGGTGCCTCATGTGCTGTTGAATTTAAATATTTGATGAAATAGAGTTGAAACTAATATAAGTTCTACATCTGAAACTGCTGCATAAATATTATTACCAGCATTATAAATCTTGTTAGTTTGTAATATAACTCAAAAATAAATTAGGTGGTTTGAGTTTTGAGACCCATTTTTGTCAGGGATCCTCGGTTATCATCTTAGGGGAAAATATTAGAATATATTTTCTTCTCTGTTACATGGAATTATCAATAGGGTATAAATGCCTTACTGTGTCTCTGCAATTCCTCAAATAAAACAAAATGTCTGCTGAACCACATCAAGTATTTCACAAAGAACCCATCTTCTACTCGTGATTGCTTCTTTGCTGAGCTGTCCAGGATATTTAGAGCATTCGTGGCCTGTGGTTGCTTCACAGTGTGTTCTGGCTGGAAAACAAAGGCTCGTGCACATTGTGAACGCTGCAGCGCTACAGGACCCGTGTGGCCTGTTCATCCTGAATGACTGGAAAAGACCTCTTGTTTCCAGATATTCTCAGTTAACAGTAAAAACCTGACTTTCAAGTGAATGCTTCAACTTGAAAATAATAAACTTCTTCCTGTGTGCAACAATCATATCTCAATTAATTTTATACCCAAACTATTATGGGTAGTAAATGACAGGATGTGCTTGTTTTATTGGCCCAAATTAAGTCCATTTGTAGACATGCACTTTTTCATGACACAGAACAATGTATAATGCCAATATCTTTTAATTGGCTAGTGTTTGACCCCAATGTGTTAAAAATGTTTCCCCAAATCTATGTCTTGAAATGGCCAATTTCCGACATCACACATGTGCACAGGAAGGGCCGGGTCGCTGCCGTGGAGGTCACACTTACCAAAGTAGTTCTGTCTTTTGCCCTTTTAAATGTCAGCATATTTCCCTGTTTTTTTCCTTGTTTTGTTATTTGTGACATGAAATGGTTGGTCAGCTCAAGTATTAATAACTGTATGTCGTGTTAGAATTCTGTCAGAGCATCCGGGTAATGTTGGAAACATGCATACATTGTTCTAACCAATGAGCACGGTGTGGGTCCCAGGTGTGTCAAAGGGCTGAATTCAGTGTTTTCCTACAGTCTCTGGGCGCGGCGCAGCTACTCAATTTCCCCCTAGTTTAGAATCTCTTTCAGATGAGAACAGCAGTGTCACGGTCATTGACTGCAGCCCTACAGTCCGCAGCATTTGTTCATTTTAACAAGTGTGGTAGAAATGATTGTTGGGGTGAGCGTGGCGTCAAACCATAAACAAAGCAGTCTTAGAGAATATCGGCAGCTTACCGCCCCCAACAGGAAACAGGACAGACTTCAATTCAAAGCTAATACACAAGTATTCACGAGCACCGTTATGCTCGTCTGACTGATTTTAATGTCCAGCACTACATTAGGAAGGTGATGCAGCTGTGCAACAAGTCATGGATCTAACATGTGGAATTACTCATAAAGAGATATAATATTTCATCATACGTATCCACTGCTGATATCGACATCATGGCATAACTTTTAATCAGTAGTTGTTTAGTATGTATTTTAAATCATATTATTGGGAGTATAAACAAACTTTTGAACATAGAATTCATCAATAAACACGAGCTAATGCCATCAGATTTTTATTTTTCAAAATACATTCTAATACATCCACCAGCAGACAAAAGGCAAACGTTCTGTTGAATTCACATTTTGTTAAGGCACAGAAGTTGACTTCATTCTGAAGTTCTACATCTGTGACGCCGTGCTGCACACATATTGCTACCAGTACTCTGAACCTTGTATCCTGTCACACTGCTACACAACACAGCTAACAATTCAAACGGGGCCAAAGTACACAGCGCACTGCACACACGGATTAATCTCTTTAAGTGCTATGTATTTTAGGTTTAATGTGCTTTACTTGAAATTATACAATACACCCCTTGGCTTACACTATTTATTCCCCCATTCAGTTTGTAATCCTTGGTTTTAATATCTAGTTATTTCTAAACTCCTTCAACCATCAAATTTATAATACATTCATACTCAAGCACTGCGATTCTCTATGTGTATATTTAGTGATGTATTAGATATTCATATCAATTAATGCATTATTTCCCAGAGAAGTGCACTGATCACTGCGGTTATATAATCAAACATTTTGAATGACAAACACCCGATCCCTAGCCGAGTGCCTTTCCCTCTAGGACAGTGAAAATGTCCTCTAAAGACTTGTGGACACACTGCAGAAACTCATGGACGTTGCGAGCCGGGTAGCTGGACACATTGCAGCCGATCCAGTCGTCATGGACACCGTAGCCGACGCCAAAGCCATCAGGCACCACCGGGGCGAAGCCGCCCAGACTCACAGCTGGGCTGGTGAGGGTGCTGGTGGAGAGGATGTTGTGGTTGATGGCAGCGTAAGCCGGGTCCGTGTACAGGCCGTGCAGAGGCTCGCTCTTCGAGTTGGCCAGGTATCGCAGGGCGAACAAGTGCCGGTCGAAACCTTGTCCTAGTGGGACAAACAAAAGAGGTGGTTAGTAAAGAAGATCAAAAAGGTTTGTGCTGGTTTTGATGCGAGTTATGTCTCAAATAGCTAATTTGATAGTTTCTGCAATTGAGGTGCAGGTGCAAGTTTGAACATAAATCCCTGCAAATAAATGACCTACATGCAGAAATGTCTCATACACACCCATGGCTGCTTCTTTGGTGAGCTGTCCATGATACTTGGAGCATTCACTCAGCATGGCCTGTAGTTGCTCCACACTGTGTCGTCCTGGCTGGGAGACAAAGGCTTGTGCACATCGTTGTGTGTGTGAGGTGGCAGGCCGGATGGTCTCCGTGCGGCCATGCCTGAACGCTGCAGTGCTACAGGACTCGTACGTGGCTACCGTCTGTCCGTACTGCCTCAGGAAACCCATTTGAAAAGCCAGCTGGGCGATGGCATCGGGACTCAACTTGCTCTTCTTTAACTGGGCCTTGCCCCCTTTCTTGAACTCCAAGGCATCGATGGTGAGTTTCGATACGCTCGAGTCAAAGTTCTCCTTGGCCTTTTTGATGCCATTCTCCAGCTCGCTGTCCAGGTTGAACTGCAGTCTGCGCACAGCCGAGGCGGAATCCACAGCGGCAGCAGTGGAAGCCGGGTTTACCAGTGGCTGCTCCGTGGTGTCTTTGAAGATCTCATTTTGAAAGCGAAGTACAGCGACGCCATCGCCCCACGAGTGCTCAAAATTGATGGCCGCCTGTCCATCTTTGGTCAGAATGACTGTGAAGGACTTGTCAAACCACCGGTTGCAGCCGTCCCCGTGCAGCATGTTGTGGGAGATGTGGATGTGGTCCCTCATGCTTTCATCGTCCAGACTGAGACAGAAAAGGGCGCTGTCAACGATCCGCAGATCCTCTGCGTTTCCAGCAGCTATCAGCTGGTCCCTCAGCCCGGCCCACACATCCCTGTTCTCACTGGTCAGGACCCCGAGAGGAAAGGCAGCCGCTGGCGTTGGGTCGCACAGGATGTGCTTCAGGTGGGACTGAATCTCTGCGGGCTTTACCAAGTTCCCATCCCGGTCTACAATGTCAAACACATACATGTTGCCCTTCCTCATAACTAGGAGATGTCGCGCTTTGTCGTCGGTGAAGAGCTCATCTCTGCCCTTCTTGGGGATCCGAGTGGAGTTGAAGAGGCGAAAGTATTGAGACATGTCCAGCGGGTAAGCATTCACCATGTAAGCTCCATACCAAGACAGCGAAGACGGCACCCAGCGGATTAATCTTTTGAAGCCGTCTGTGTCACTCTTTGCCGGGTTGAGGTGGAAAACCTCCGGCTCAAGCAACCCGGCTCGCAGTGTTTTCATGAAGCGCACGGCTGAACACACCACATTGGTCGCCCTCACAAGCTGGTCATTGTACTCCGTCTTAGGGTCAGGGTTGAAGGACATGAAGGGGTTACAGTTCAGCACCACGGAGTCGCGTGCAGATAGATACATGTCAAACCACGGCCCTGAGAGAAGAATCATTTAAATACATTCATTAGCAATTTTAAGTATTTGAGATGCTCACTTTCAGGGTCAAGTGTCGGAATGACAAACTTACCAGAGATGTAGCTGGTGTGTTTGTTGTTTTTGTCCTGAGCTACCAGTTCCTCATGCAGCGGTTTCCCCACCCCGTTCTGGAAATCTTGTGCAATTTTCTCTGTTGTTCTAAGGATTCACAGTTAAAATTGTTGATGGGTAACAAGTACTTGATTTAGACCATTAAGTTTCATGATGATCTTATTAAGAGGTAAAACTTCTGAAAACTCACCTGAACTGGTCCTCATCCAACAGAGGCCTCTGCGCAGCTAGATACCTGCCGACAGTATCCGCCAACTTCGGTATGGGCAGTCTAAACCATTTACAAAACAAAGTCACCAAATGCAGCCTCTACAGTCCAGTAGACGACACGACCCCTAGTGGTCAACCACCTCAAACCCAGTGTGCACTTTCACCTACATCCTTCACTAACTGGGATCACCTTGCTACTTCCTCCTGACATTTCAAGGGTAGTTCATATTCACACAAGACCCAAGTCATGCGAGGTGAAAGCTGCACGGTGGGTTTGAGTAATATTTCATTTAGCTTCTCACCTGGGTAAACTCTTCTGGTAATGCATCGATGGTACGACACTTTGGTGCAAATACTCGGTTGAAGGCCCCTTTTTGCTGCTGTAGTTTCGCTTGTCGAGGCCCAGAGCAGCAGTTCTTAAATGGATTCCGGATTTCCTCAGAGAGGCGACGCAGTGCATTGGAAGCGGACTGGCCATGGTGCTAGCTAGCATGCTGGCGACCTAACGCTGTCAGGTTGCGTCGACGTAAAGCACACCGGCTGAAGCTAACGGGGAGTAGTTAGTCACGCGTGTCGGAGCTTCCTTAGTCAACACGGACCGCTGGCATTTATTGGAACGTATATAAGATCCTCTCCCTACTCGTTAAAAACTAATTATAATGGGAACTGACAGCAAAAACCAACAGATTCTAACTGAATTAAAAACAGGAAGCTTGACTGGTGGAGATTGTCACGTGACCTCTTCTTCTACGCTTCTCTACCGGGTAGTGTGAACTCGTTACAAAGCAGCGCATGCGCAGTCTAACTAGAACGTCGACGTCACGATGATAATTAAAGCCATGTAATGACAATTATATCAATGTACAGAGTGGAATTTTAGCACTCTAGTTAGTTAAACTGCAACTATACAAAACATGGTGGTATTTTGTGAGACACACACATGTATTAATATTAATTGTAATGGAAACTCTTTTATTGCTCCTTTCAGCAAGAAAAATATAGATACAGATAAGACAAAGAACTCTAGTCAGTCTTCAACTGCGTAACATTCAAGATGTATAATATGTGGTTTATGCTGACCATATTCAACTGTGATGCTGAAGAGATATACGTGCGCTTTCACTTTACTTACTTTCAGGGGCCAAGTATTTGTGCAAGGGTGTATTCATCATCCATCCATAAGCGATAAGTCAGAAGTGTATATAACGCCGCTCTGCATCTGCAAAACTGCTCGTGCCCCCATGCACGTGCACAGATAGACCCTTATGCTGACCCTTATAATAAACTTCTCTGCACTGCCTCTTTTTAATTTAAGGTACTTCTCCTCACCTACAAGGCACTTGCTGGTGTTCCTATGGTTTTAAAAAGTAGGCTGGGGGCCAGAGCCTTCAGTTATCAAGCTCCTCTTTTGTGGAACCAGGTTCCACTTTCAGTCCGGGGGGGCAGATTCGGTCAGCTCTTTTAAAGTAAAGGTTAAAACGTTCCTCTTTGATTCTGCCTATAGTTAGGGCTGGCTCAGGTCAGCCCGGACCAGCCCTTAGTTGAGCTGCTATAGGCTTAGACTGCCGGGGGACTTCTTAGGACACACTGAGCTCCTCTCTCACGCTCTCGTTCTACAATAATCCACGTTTTATTAATGCACATGACTAATTCAGCTTCTTTACGGGAGTTTTTTCGTGCTTTCTCCCCTAGCAGGTCTCGGATCAAAAAATTTGGGACAAATCCGAAGCCAAAGGTATTTTTTGTTTGCAATGAAAGAAATTTACTCCCCAAACTTTTGTGTTTGCATAATAAAGACACAACTCTACCTCCACACTGCACGTGGGGCTACTGTGAGACTGACTGCCTGTGAGTGTTTAAAAGCCTGAACAGCAGCCTTCGTAAACCGTTCATCATGGTGCTCTCCTGCTCGTTTGGCTTCTGTGGTGTTGCTGCTCTGAAGGTGAACGTTGAAGACCGCACAGCGTCTCTTGGCCGCCCTCTAGTGTTTAGTTTGAGGAAGTGTAACCAGTTCTTCTAGTGGGTTGTCTTCTCCATTTTCAAAAGCTGTGAAGAAAGACTTGTATTGAAGCGGTGCTCATAGCACACAGGAATGTTTCTTACTGAAGGACTGATGTCCTTCTGGTAGCTCTCAGTCACAGGTTGCACATGTCCTGCTCAGATTTTATTCTCATTTTGTGTTTAAGCAGAGTTCTAAAAAGTATTTTGCATTGGAAAAGAAACTTTTCTATCCCAGCAGATTGTAAGAAAATGTCTTTGACATCAGCTCCCCTTTTCACTTTCCACTCACTTGGATTTCTAGCTTTTCTTTTAGAAGATTTAAAATGAAGGAATAAGTTACAGTAAATTGCGAATGTGTGATAACATTGAAAGGACAACGGTCACCACTGGCTTTATGTTCCAGGACGCTTTCTTATTCAGAATGAACATGGGGTCGTTATGGAGCAATACAAACAGGGCAAAGAAGACACGCAATACTAAACAGCCACAGAGGAAAAGAGAACCATACACAAAGTGTGACAACACACCAGGTGCAGCGACACCCATTAAACACACACATCAAGGAGGAACTCCAGCACTGTAAAAACACGCAGCGGATGATAAAACTATAAAACCATGCACAGAAATGGCCCCCCGTGTTCGGTGAATCTCAGCGGTATGAGAATGAGCTTTTTAACAGGCACACCGGGGGAGGAAGAAAGGAGTCCCGTTGAATTACCACAGCGCTGAGGAGCAAACACAAAGCTCTCTGCGAGCAGCGGGGGGGGTTGAGGGGGGGGGGGGGGGGGTTGCTTAAATAAGGATGCTTCACACTGGTGATAAACAGAGGGGGAGATCACAGGGTTGTTTAAACCTCACACGGAACATCGGGAGAATCCACCCTTCAACGCGACACCAAAGCAAATCCCAAAATGCAAACGTCTTTGGTCCGTCCTGAGAGGGTCTGACGGAACCAACGTACAAACATGAATCCAGGGCTTAATAATCTCCTTCAACTATTTGAGCGACAGCAAAACTATTACACGAAGAAGCAGACGGGGCTAGAAGCCGAGGTTTCCTCGAGCCATGCAGTATCCCAGTTTGTTCTGGTTCCCGATGAAAGACATGAGGCCCACGTAGGCATCGGTGTGGATCGGCTGCTTGAGGACCAGGACGCCGTTGGCCTTCCCAGGAAACGGCTTCATGACGTGCGCTTTCTGCGCCGCCTCCTTGATCTGCTCTTGAAAGTTCTCAATCTGAGGGGGGTGGAGAGGGAAAACAGATTTACTGAAGGACTTACTTCCTGTTTGTACAGCATTCCTTAACTGAACTACTCGTGTGTTTATACATATAATTGATTATATCTATGGCGGAGCCAGTCACCATGGTCTCTACACCTGATTGGTTACAAACCGCGTCTTTGGATTGGCTGGAGTGATGCATTCACACAACTATAGAAGCCCATTTCCGCACTAATGTAAGGGGATAGAAAGAAATTATGAGATAAAACGTTGTCAAAAAACAAACGCCCCCCTTGGGTAATCGTAGTGGACCGTAGACGACAACCAGCTACAACCATCATTTACCATCATTACCGGCGCATTAAGAGCAATGCGTCCAGCTCGCAGACCGGTCCGTCAGTCTGAATCTGAATATCTTGCCAACTTTACCGAACTGTGGAGGAACCTGCGCACATCTTACCTCATTATTTCAATTTTTCAAAAAGTCGATCCGTATTGAAAGTTGGCAAGATATTAACAGATTTGGACTTTTTTCCGGTATTTTACAAATACGGACCGGTCTGAGACTAAGAGCAGCTTTTCCTTCATTTAAAAGAAAAATTAATCTGTTTAATATTTTTTTACATCGGCTACTTCCATATTGTGTTGAAATGCAAGCTGCATTGGTTCATTGTTGATAGAAAATCATATTTGCGACAAAGATTTTTTTTTTCCGCTTATAAAAAATTAGAGAAGGTAATTCATCTGTTGATTTTCTTTAATTATCAAATAAAGTAGGAAGTGATTAGCAACCTGAGTAGCAAACTCAGATTTGAGAAAATTTAGAAAATCGAGATGCATCGATAATCGTTTTATCAGTTTAGAATTGATAATCGGTTTAGAATCGAATCGTTGACCTCAGAATCGGAATGGAATCGTGAGGTGCCAAGAGATTCCCACCCCTAATATCTATTATATATAGTTTATTTCATTCCGTCTCGATGGATCGTTTTCTCATGCTTTGTTGTAAATAGATGTGACTTGAGTTAATTACATTGATTCAAATATATGTACTCACTGTTAATGACAGTTAGTGTATTCGTAGGTGTTCTTCTTCTTCATGTGACATCTGATTTCACTTTAAATGTCACTTTGTTATGTGAAAATAAATAATAAACCTGTAACTAACATGTAAGAATACTTAATATGAATAAGTATGCTTTAGGGCCAGCTGTCCCGGCCTTGTCCGGTCCGTGTTTTCCTCTTACAACTTGTCACGGTGTATTTTTACTTCATGAAGGTGAAGATGAAGTTGTAACCTCTTCAGTCGCCTAAAAATGTCTCATTCTGCGTTCAGCGCAAAGATGGTGACGGACCGAAACACTCAATTAAGTGTCTCCTTTAAACGACTCATAAACTCACATGGCACATTTCAGCGAACGTGTCGCTGAGACTCATCACGGGGTGGTTGATGAAGGTGATGAAGGGGAAGTCAATGGCGAAGGGGTTCCACCTGGAGGTAAAGGAGGGCTCCCTCTGCCGGTCCCAGAAGAGCCGCAGTCCCTCCCCCCCCCTCCTGGACACAGCAAGACACAGAAGAGCGTCCGGCTGTCAGCGACACATTCGACTCAAACACACGGCATTTCTATGCTGTCACCAGATAAAGTAAATTACTCCATATTATGACTTGTTTTCCCATTGAGAGTTACACACACAAAAGGTTGGTGTTTCTCTGACAGTTAAATATATTTGCACATTTGCCTTTGATGTTGTGCGGGTTGGTCGACCTTTCACCCCACAGTCAAAAAACATCATTTGCATTGACTGGCTCTGACTGTCAGAGCAAGAACTACATTTCACTAATGCAACAAAATGATAAATTTGCAGTTTGCTCTTCCTATTTTTCATATGCAAAACAATTGTTAACATGTTGCTGATGGATTCCAACGGCCAACAATTGGTTGCAAAATGGCTTCCAATGGCAACCGTGCAAGTGTTACTTTTGCTTCAACATCACTTCACATTATTTTCCAGAAAGGCGGTCAACCGGACCGGTTAGTTCTACGCTAACATGTGAGAATACTTAACATGAATAAGAATACTTAAAATGAGATGAGACGGCCTACTGCGTGTTCCTCATATTAAAGTAAAGACCCCAGGCTGTGAGGTCAAAAAGCCCCAAGTCACATGTCCCTCAGCGCAGTGAAACCTCAGAAAACTGAGAAAAGCAAAGAGCTCTGAACCCTCTTAGATCCCATGTTTGAAATGATGGTGCGTTCATCCACATGCTGTAAGGATTCTACCGTTTGCCCATCAAATGTGACCCGGGCTCTCACACGCCCCTGACTGTGGGGACTACAGCACATTTGTTATACGTCAAAAGGGTACAGGGTCACAGTGAGTACAAACACTGCTTTAGAGCCAGATAGAGCTGTGAAATAAATCCATTCTTGTCAATATATCTGAGCTATGGGAAGATTTCTGCCTTTATCTTTATCTGTACAGAACAGCCACGTCTTCCCTCAGCGCTTCTCTAAAGTTTGTGGCGACTAAAGCACTCGACTAAACTCAATGGAGAAGTGGAGTGTTTGGCACCGTGTGCACAAACACGGAGGCTCCTCAAATGAGCGGCTTTTATTCAGCGCTCCAATGAAGCCTCAACCCATCGTCTGTGGATCGGTTCTGTTCCATCCAACACGGGAAAAGGTCATCAGCAGAAAACAAAATGATTTTTTATACTTAAGTAAAAACAATATCCTACTGGTATTGTGGACATGACATGTTATTAAAACAGGCAGTTTAAATCCAGCAATATAATTGGTTCACGATGGTCGTGATGCCAGAGAAAGCAGAGCAGCGTCCTCGCTGTTAAATAGCCCCATTAAAAGAATCTGTATCTAGTGTATGACCACGTAATATTACCATATGGGATTACCGTTCCATAAAATGAATGGTTCACTGAATGAATATCCCAAACCTCCTAAAAGAAACACAACAAACAGGTCACACAAAGTGAAGTTTGTTACAGCAATCACACACACTGTTTTGGTGGTTCTGTGAATCGGTTCTAAAACAGATTTAACTGTGGGATTAGAAAAATATAACTGATTATAATCAACCCTTGTTTGCATCCAAAAGGAAAGAAGGTCAATAAATCAGTGATGTCAATTTACCCAAGAGGCCATGGGATATTTATATTTTGAATGATCTGTCACACCTTTTTACCACATACTTTGCACAATTGTTTAGACAATTGTTTACCTCAGGTGTTTAATTCTGTTCTGCTATCCAAACGAGTGCAGAGGCCTCCTCCCAGGCAGATGTTGTGCAGGTAGAAAAGCTTAGTTATCCACACGCTGGAACAAGCTGTCTGTGGGAGTTTGATCACCCCAAACAGAGGGGGCTCAGCTGTGCACAACATCGTCAAGACAAGACTCACAAACACCTCACGAGAGAGGGTCAAACTGAAGAAAGGCCCCTGCCACTAACCACCCACTCAGTCAGTCCGCACGGTTACAAAACCACACAGGTCACACACAGGCTGCACTCTGAGCTTAAGGGCAAGTGACGAGAGATTCCTCACTGGGATTCTTTACGCCCTCAGGACTCGTAAGTCAAAACACGAGACATAAACGTCAAAGCCGGCTCCAGTTGTGCAACACCGTCACACAGCAAACCGGCACATCGAGTCCTTTAGCCTGGTTCGTCAGCCATCCATACACACGGATGCAAATACTTCAGGGAGGGACTAACCAGTGATGACTGGGAAAAAAAAGCGTAGCTCACTTGCTGTACACAACTTCCCCACAATATGCGTGCCTGGAAAAGACATTTGCATTATTCATGGTGAAGCTCGTGCGACGCTCCGAAGCCTAAAACATAGAGCCACGCTGCTGTGGATGTCACGATGCAAAAAAGCTGTGATATCATGGCTGCGGGCTGTTGGCAAACCCGCTTCCACCCCGAACAGCAGAGTCCACAGGCTGAAAAAACGCTGCAAGGTGTTTGAATTAAGAGCAGCGAACCCAAAACACATTATACGCCTATTGGAGGAAACCCCTGAGTGTGTATTCGCATATTTTTGTGCTATTTATGCCGTAGATGTTCCATTTATGAAAGTGCAGTTGAGATGAATCCCACGGATTCAAATCATTGAAGGAAGCAGGGAGCATGGGACTTTCTCCTCGGTGCTGTAATACAGTTATAGGTTTTAACACAAAGGTCAACGCGCTACATTTGAATCCTCGTTGGAGGCTCTTTAAAGAGAGAAAAATTGAATGGGAATTCAGTGCAAAATAATAATAATTCACTCAGGATATCTGAGCCTTTGCTGTAGACATTTTGATTATTCTTATTTATTGTTATGTACAGTATGTTACACATACGTGGCAACAAAGAAAATAGGATAATAATCAAATAGAATAAAATAAGATAAAGTAAAATACCCAAGCAAAAGTTAACAATATAAACAAATAAGCTTAGTACGTTAACACAGGTATGTGCGTACGTATATTTCCATGGTAAGAAACCACTGTGCACATATGTACGGTAATTACACATTTGACGTTTGCCCATTTAAAACATCGTTTTTCAAGTAAAAAGAAAAGGTGGCAGTTTGTCATAGATGTGTGTTATCTTTCATTTTGTGTGAAACCGGTTAGTGGACTACATATCTCATCTCCCACAATGCACGTCAACGTCGCGGGCCAATGAAATTGCTTGCGGTGCGAATACAACGGCCGCAGCATTCATCATCTCAGAATTTTGCTCAAAATGTCAAAGGTCAGAGGCATTTAGGATTCATATGCTGGATGCTTGGTGGTTATTTTTGCTGTGGTTTTGGTGAGATTTGTCTGACTAAAAGGACACTTATATCAGCGCTTATATCTTATATCAGCGCCCTTTCTACAGGAACAATGTTCCTGTAGAAAGCTGGTTCTGCTCGGTTGGAAACCCAAATGGGCTAAATAATCTATTGTTCCCCAGGAAAACTTGATTAGGAGATAAAGATATTAGATCTAAATGCTGTGTTACCAAAAAAGGAACGCACCATTAAGCGTTGTTGTAGAAAAATGCCTGACTTTTTCCCCACATTGATGTTGTGATGAGGAAGTTTGCTGTACCATCACAGCAGGGTGGAGGAATCCGTCTCATACACTTTACTGTAGATCAATTTTCTGCCAAAAATAAGAGAGAATGACCTAGACTAATGAAAGACGCTTCCTGAGGGAGAGCAGAGAAGAAGACAAGGAGGAAGAGGGAGGAGGTAGTGCAGATGAAGTGTTTGAGGGTTGAGTCTCTCTCATTCAAGCAGTCTCTTTGCTGTTGGACTCCCAGGTGGCTTTCACGAGCGCTTTATGTATAATTCAGCGTAATGTGCAGAGATAAAGCCCCCAATACAGGCCGCGTCCTTCTAAGCTCTTCACAGCGCATTAAGTTTTATTCATCAAATTACTTTTAGTTAGTTTGGTATCCCCTGAGCAGTCTTTAAAAGGTTTGGATTAAAGGACTACATTAATTTTGCCACTAATCAGTAAGGCGACAGCTCCAAGTGACCGCTCTGCACTCTTTACCCTCGCCGGTTTCAGGCCGTTACGCGTGTCACCGGTATCTGCAGCGCCGTGTCACTGCTCTCACTGACAAGCCCGATCACCGTCCACGCTGTCAAGCAAGTCGTGCACACTTCAACCTTTGACACCCCCAGAAAAGGCGCCATGTTGTGTTACTTCCTCTAAGAAGGTTCACAAAGCTCGAGAGCAAACTAGGCATGTGTGGCATTAACGGTCAATGGCTAATCGTGTGCTAGAAGGGATTTTTTACTTTGGTGAAGAAAATAAGAGCATGGAGCACATCATTGGGTGTAGGAGCCATTATTAGGTGTGGGATCGTTTCCAGACATAGTGAACTTTCTAGAAAGGCAAGTCAAAATCTTGGCTCATCCACTTTTTGGTGATATTTCTGATGCACAACCAAACACCTTAACAACGGTTATAAATAGGAGCAAACCGCTACTCAAAAGAAGCAGCTTTGCAACGATCACCACAGCGTACGAGACACCAAGGCAGCCTGTAACAGCTAAAGAGTCATCCTCACATTCCTGCCTTTATTGTGAAGAGTCACATCCATTGTTCAGGTGTGCAAAGCTGATGGAAGTTCCTCAATGGGAGAAAATGGAATTCTTGAAAGGAAAAGGAATCCGTTTTGGATGTTTGAAGGCTGGCCACATAAGCAAGGAGTGCAAAAGTCGTCTAACCTGTGAACAATGTAATCTTAAACACCCAACTATTTTACATATCCAGGACAAAGACAAAATTAGCAAACTACAGGACATCCCAGTAAATAGTGCGCTTGTGTCTTTTCAGGCATGTGGTTGTACAGGGGCTGGAGATTATGACTGTACCCTTTCCATTGTACCAGTGCAGTTAAGGTCTATGAAAAGCAGGCAAGGTGCGGCAGACGTATGCATTCCTGGACCCTGGCAGTACCGCAACTTTCTGTACCAACCGTTTCATGAAGAAGATGAATTTACAGGGCACAAAGACTAACATTATATTACGCACTATGGGCCAGGAAAGGGTTGTGGAAAGCCAAATATTGCCTGAACTGGAGGTGTCAAAATTGGATGATAAATTCTTTGACCTCCCAGAAACATTCACCCAAGAAACGATCCCCGTCTCAAGGGCAATATCCCTGCTTAATGAGACATTGAAAGGTGGGAATACCTGGAAGGAATCCGTATCCCAGAATTGAATGCTGAGGTGGAAATCTTGATCGGGACTAACGCACCAAAATTAATGGAGCCCTGGGAAATAATCAACACCCAAGGTGATGGACCTTATGCCGTGAGGACACTATTGGGGTGGGTTGTCAATGGACCTTTGAGGGGCAATAGTGGTTGTGCTCAAAGTGGATGCTCGACAATATATGCCAATAGGATATCCATTGTCAGACTGGAAGAGCTGTTGGTCTCCCAGTACAATCAGGATTTCAATGAAAGGAGGAGAAGCAGGAGATATCAGTAGAGGACCTAAGGTTCATGGAGATCTTGGAGAAGTCTACTTGTATGCAGGAAGGTCATTACTGCGTGGACTTACCCTTCAAAGTGGATGACATCACCATGCCAAACAACAGGGGCATAGTTGAACAGCGCATTCAAGTCTCAAAAGAAAATTTGAAAAGAATAAAACTTACCAAGAGGAGTTTACAGCGTTCGTTAGTGAGATGATTAACAGTAAATACGCAGTGGTGGTAAGTGGTGCCTAAAGACGAGTTGGACTGTAGGGATGGCAATGTGTGGTATCTTCCGCATCACAGGGTGTATCCCCCAAAGAAGAAAACCCTGAGAGTGTTTTTTGACTGTGGGGCAAAGTTTAAAGGAACCTCCTTGAACTGTCAACTCTTGCAAGGCCCTCCCCTTACCAACTCTCTCCTTGGGGTCTTAACAAGGTTTAGGCAGGAGAATGCTCTGCTCTGATGACCGATGTCAAGGCTATGTTTCATCAAGTAAAGGTGTCAGATAAGCACATGGATTTTCTTCGTTTTCTATGGTGGCCCATGGGAAACACGTCACAGAACCCAATAGAGCACAGGATGAGGGTACATATCTTTGGAGCGGTTTCATCACCAAGCTGTGCCAACTACGCTTTAAAAAGGACTGCAGTGGACAAAAAGGATGACTTCAAAGTGGAAGTGACCTATACCATCAGAAACAACTTTTACGTGGATGACTGTCTAAAATCTGTGCCCACAAAGATTGACGCAATGCAGTTGGTAAAGGACCTTACTGATATATGCTCAAGGGGTGGGGGGGGTTCAGCTGCTCAAATGGACAAGCAATAGTCGGGCTGTATTGTCATCTATTCCCGAAGCAAAACGGTCCAAGACAACCAGGCAACTGCACTTGGAACAAGACAGCCTGCCTGTGGAGATGGCTCTGGGATTGAATTGGTGCGCCCAAAGTGACACTTTCACATTCAAGCCGTCAGTGGACACACGACCACATGCAGGACGTGGTATTCTTTCAATTGTCAGTTCCATCAACGACCCGTTAGGATTCTTGTCACCATTCACCTTGCTACCAAAACTGCTGTTGCAAGAAATGTGCAGAAAAAACATGTACTGGGATGACCCTATTCCACAGGCATTATCCCAACAATGGACAACGTGGCTGCTGGATCTGGAGAAGGTGACTGAACTTAAAGTGGACCGCTGCATCAAACCAAAGGATTTCAGAGGACCCATAAATGCCCAGCTGCATCACTTTGCAGATGCCAGTGACCATGGCTATGGCACGGTGTCCTATTTAAGATTGGAGAACCATTGTAAGAACGTCCATCCTGCGTTCATGTTGGGCAAAGTCCAGAGTAGCACCATTAAAACAGACGACAATTCCTCGCCTTGAATTCACTGCCGCTGTGTTGGCCGTAAAAGTTGACAAAATGCTGAGGAAGGAATTGTCCCTTGAGTTGAGTTGGAGAAGTCTTGCTTCTGGACCGACAGTCAGACCGTGCTGAAGTATATTAGTAACAAAACAAAGTGCTTTTACACCTTTGTGGCAAATAGAGTGGCTTCTCCCAGGGAAGCAACAAATGTTGTTCAGTGGAAGTACATCAGCTCAAAGAACAATCCGGCTGACGAAGCCTCCAGAGGTCTGACAGCGGATAGCTTCCTAGCATGTCGGAGGTGGATATCGGGCCCAGACTTTCTTCAAAAGGTAGAGTTGGATTGGCCAATGCCCTTACATCCACATCCCATTTCCTCAGAAGATCCAGAGGTCAAAAAGGACCTAATGGCGAACATCATCATCACAGATTCTGAGGGTGCAACCACCAAACTCATTAACTACTTTTCTTGCTGGACTGAACTAAGGACCTCAGTTGCCTGGTTCCTTAAGCTCAAAACTATTCTGCTGGGTCTAAGGAGAAAAAGGAATGAAGTTATCTCTTCACTAACTGCTGCCGGCGCAGCCACACAACTAGAAAAAGTAGAAATGGAAATGAGAAAGGTCAGAAACGCAGTCATTAGTCAGTCACTCTCAGTAATGGACATCCACAGAGCAGAATCGGCCGTTATTCGCTTCAGTCAGCAAGCGTCATTCAAAGAAGAAATTTCTTCACTGGAAGGTGGATCATCTGGTGTAAGGAAAACCAGTGCTATCTACCAATTGGACCCTGGATGACAATTTGTTAAGAGTGGGTGGAAGACTCAGTCGTGCAGCTTTACCCGAGGATACCCAGCATGTAGCCAATCTCATTTTGTAAAACATTCATCAGCAGCTTGGACATGCTGCAAGAAATCATGCTCTCAACTTTGCGGCGTAAATATTGGATCACAAGTGGCAACTCGGCCTGCCGAAAGATAATATCTGACTGCGTGGTGTGTCGACGGCATCGAGGACAGCCAAGTGAACAGAAAATAGCTCACGTGCCGAAAGAAAGGATTAGTCCAGATTTGCCTCCCTTCACCAACGTGGGAGTGGACTATTTCGGACCCATAGATGTCAAGAGAGGACGTGCTATGGTCAAAAGGTACGGAGTCATTTTTACCTGCATGGCTAGCAGAGCCGTCCATTTGGAGATTGCCTACTCTCTGAATACCGACTCCTGCATTAATTCAATAAGAAGGTTCATATGTCGCACAGGTCAAGTGCGTCGTTTTTGTTGGCGCGAATTTTGTTGGAGCAGAGCGAGAGTTAAGAGAGGCCTTAGCTACCATAGACCATAGCAAGATTAAAAACACCCTCCTGCAAAAGAGTATCGACTGGGCTTTCAACCCTCCTGCTGCATCCCACCATGGCAGCGTTTGGGAGCGACTCATTGGAATGGTCAGAAAGATCTTGGTTTCTGTGCTTCAACAACAATCTTTAGACTATGAAATCCTTCATACAATTTTGTGTGAAGTAGAGGCCATTCTCAACGACCGCCCCCTAACCAAGGTTTCTGATGACGTCAACGACTTGGAAGCTCTCACTCCAAATCATATCCTTTTGCTCAAAGGAAAAACTATTATCGCCCCATATGATGATCTTTACATCAGGAGACAAGTTCAGTATCTGTGAGATCTGTTCTGGAAAAGATGGATAAGGGAGTACTTGCCGCTACTGCAGGAACGACAAAAGTAAACAAAGCCGCGCAGAGGTTTCGTAGTTGGCGATATTGTCATCATCATGGATTCAACTGCTCCTCGTGGGTCATGGATCATGGGAAGAGTGACCAAGACATACCCAGATAAAAAGGGGTTTGTACGTGCAGTACAGTTAAAGACTAAGACTGGACAAGTGGAGCGGCCTATATCAAAGATCTTTCTGCTTCAAGAAGCAGTGTAAAGGTAATGACCTAACATTGCTACTGTTGGTAACACCTGAAGAAGAAAGAAGGAAAGAAATCAGACCTTTTTATTTCTTATGACTCCTCTGGGATTTAAATTAATGTAATTGGGCATACTTTCCCCAATTAGGGGCTGGTGTGTAGGAGCCATTTAGGATGTTTGTGTACCACTTGGTGTTGGGAGCCAATCTCAGGTTGGCCACGGGTGGCAGTGTGACGGTCTACATATGGAGGCACAGGTGCAATTAGTGGGGGCAATGATGCATGGGTGACGGGGACATCACAAGGTTTTTACCGCTAACAGGATACACAGCGAGAGGAATGACGGAAAATAGATAGTGTTTCATAAACTATATAATTAAATAAAGTGGACCTTCACCTAAAGAAAACAAAAAGACTGGTAATCTCTGTGTGAGCGAGTGAGGAACCGGATTTTCTCCCGCACCCTGCAGAGTGGCTCAAGAAAATCTGTCACTACATTAGGTATAATATTGGTAATTCTCCATGTATTCATAATGTTTTTCTATTAGCAACAAAACTCACTGAATATCAATTTTCAAAGTAGACTCACTGAATACAACTAAATAATGATGCAGGACACCATTGCTCCAAGGCTCGCTCTGCACACATGTGTCTCTATGAGCTGAAAGTATGAGGAGTCACGGATCAAAAGAACTTCTTAAAGCTGCAGGCGTCTGTGGAAGGAAGGTGTAGGTTGACGGTAACGACTTACTGAAGCAGGGAGTGCTTGGGGAAGCTGAAGGGACCGTGGGAGATGCGGTCTATAATGTTCAGTGGGATCCTATGGATATGCTCACAATTGAACAAGACGAAGTTGTACTTGAAGACCAACAGAGAGTTGTCCGTGATGAGGACGAGGCGCTCTTTTTCATTGTTCCAGTGATCCACCCTGGAACAACCAGAGAGAGAGTGTGTTAGCATAACATAAATAAGCACCAAGTTACCAGTTTATTAGTCACATCAGATTAAATTATCCAGTTAACTGCAGGATTTCCAATCTTTTTAGATATTTGTCAGCCAAAAGACCAATATATTTTGTGTTATCCCAGTCCGCCCAACCTAAGGGTCGAGACCCACCAATGGGTCATACGATTTTCATAATGTCTGTATGACTCTTTGTAGTATTATGTTTAGTTCTGATGTTGGTAGGGGAGACTAACTAAGGATGCACAGAATGTAGTCTTGTCTATGGTGGACTTTTTTTTATTGTTTTCTTGCTAGAAAAGTAGTAAAAGAAGACAAAAGTATTGGCAGCCACTGCAATAGGCTCCTTGGATCGAACCGTAAAATACCGTAACCGTAAAAGATCAAACCCCTTGATCTTAGTATAGTGCAGGAAGTTATCTGAAGTCAACCCATAAACATGTATAACAAAGCTGCTTAATTACGTACTGTAAAAGCTTCACGATGTCCAAAACCGCCCATGGCAAAGATCAAACAATATGCATGCCAGCATTTCTAAGTTTTTACCAACAAACGAAACTGAACAAGGAGGAAAGAATAATATAATAATACACTTTAAAATATTTCACAAAAAGCTTGTACAATAAGTGAACCCGATTTCTGGCAAGTGCACTTTTAAATGTCTTGTATGTCATTTTGCTCCGTGTTGGAGATATTTAATTCGCTAACTCAGCATTGACATGTGAGATCATCAACATTAGTAATCGGCCGAATTATTACGGGTGTCTTGGTCTAATCACGCTGAGCCAATATCAGCCTGTAGTGTAGTACATCGGGAGGCGGATCGAAGCTCAAGTTGGGGGAGGAAGGAACAGGGGGACGGAGCTGATGACCCACAACAACAATGAAGAGGTAAAAAAACTGGACTTACCTCTCTCCTCTTCCCAAACAGGAAAGAGGAAACTATTACCCTGTGGGGTAGTCCGGAGCCACTGACCAAGAGCCGGAGGAACCTTTTTGTTTAGTTGGTATAGATGTCTGAGACTCCTCTTATCCCTGAATATGGCCTTGACTTCCCCTGGGTTGCCACACCACCCTAAGCTGGCCATTCATTTGGACACAGCACGGTTACCGTGACTGCAGTAAGGGACTGAGTGGAGTCAATTAGCTGATTAGAGACGTGTGTATATCATCATTAGCGATCGTCCAGGCCTCCTCTTTGTGCATTTGCCCGATGGCCGCTGGGGCATTTTAACGAGAGGAAACGATCTGATCAGAGACTGTTTCTTAAAGTCTTAGCTAACATCTAAAATGTTATGTATACAACATTGGGAGCTGAAACAATTAGTTGACCTTGATCGTAATTAACATCTCCATACATTTTATTGTGTATGATTTTTTTACACAGTAAAAATGCCCGAAACTCACTCTGCCATCAGCCAAACACTGTGAACGCTGCCATCGACTTCCTCCTCCACCAGAGCTTTCACGTCTTTGATGCCCTGTTCCAGTGTGCCAGGCTGAGGAGACAGAAAGGCTGGGTGTCATTTTCTAGTTTTTCATTGTGACAACCACAATGTGTGACAGGAAGCTTAAGGGTGATCTTTGAGGCAGACGCACAGCTGGGACTGGTACTCCAACTAAATGTCAGCGTGTCTGTGTCAAACAAAATGACAATAAACAAAAAATATGAAGCCTCCGCACAACAAAATGACTGCAAATGAAGAAAGCTGTGCGTGCAGCTTCGACGTTAGAAGACACGAGAGAAAGCTTGTGCACAGAATACACTTCACATCCAAATTGATGCTTTCCCATGAAACTCAGACTGTCATTTCTATAGCATGGCATTCTAGCCTTCCACTTTTATTATTTCAGTGGCAAGTTGAAAAGATTAGGAGTTCATACTGAGGTCTTACAGCAATCTGAAAAAAGTGCTTTCCCGACCCGAGAGGACTACCTGTAGCAAGCCAACCCAGATTGGAACTTGTTCCAAAAAAAAATACTTGCACCATCCACCGAAAATATAATAAGTGTCCATAACAGCATTATGTTGTCGCACTTTTGCGCTAAATCGTATAAAAACCAGTACATCACCAGTTTCAAACTCACTACCGTGCCAAAGCTGTACAACTTGAAGTAAAAAGTGAGCAGCAGGTCATGTAACAGGTTTTTCACCAGCTTCACATGCAGGCGGGTTGAATACTGTGTCTCATAAAAAGAATTCTTTAAGGAAATATCCTAAGCCGCAAAGTAGTTAAAGGACTTGCACACAAGAATGAGCCTTATTAAGTCCACTCTGGGACTGCATGTTATGTTGTAACTAAAAACAAACAATAAACACTAAATAAATCAAATGCAACTATAGTAATAAGGACAGATGTCAAATGTAGTATAGCCTACTACCGCAAGTTTTTACCCTCAGCACGAAGAATCTTCTTATCTTAAAATGTTGCAGAGAGGGCTCCACGGAGGAGTCACCCCGCGGGGGGCGGGCGGCTCCGACCTCCGCTGCCCGCTCCTCCGGGCCCTCGGGCGGCTCCGTGTCCTCCGTGGGGGGAGGCTGCTGCGGGTCCTCCGTGGGGGGAGGCGGCTCCGTGTGACCCAGGTCCTCCGTGGGGGGAGGCTGCTGCGGGTCCTCCGTGGGGGGAGGCTGCTGCGGGTCCTCCGTGGGGGGAGGCGGCTCCGTGTGACCCAGGTCCTCCGTGGGGGGAGGCGGCTCCGTGTGACCCAGGTCCTCCGTGGGGGGAGGCTGCTGCGGGTCCTCCGTGGGGGGAGGCTGCTGCGGGTCCTCCGTGGGGGGAGGCGGCTCCGTGTGAGAGCCCAGCGGTGGCTGCTTCTCCTCTTCGCCGGGCTTCGTTCTCTCCTCTTCGGCTGCTGCCATGTCGGGGCTTCAACGACACGTGTGTCCACATTAGCAACACTTGTGTTACAGATATTTATACCAAGTTAAAAAGGTTAATGACGGCTGCGAGGCCTGTGTTTAAAGCTTTGCCTCCAACAGTCACGTTGGGGGCACAACTTCCCCGGTATCGAGAATCGCCGCCACACTCATTCTGTCACACTCATCCTGTCACACTCATCCTGTCACACTCATCCTGTCACACTCACCCTGACGTTCATGTCGCTGAAGTTAAATCCCCTTTGATTGAGTTAAAGCAGAGTTGAGGGACTTACTTGTCGCTGTGATGTCTGGTTGAAGGGTTCAGCGGGTCCGGACAGCGGCGCAGGTGAATTAACTTCCTTGTTCCGACCAACGTGCGTTGTTGGGCGCGTGCGCGGCGCAGCGCGACACTCGGGCCGTTTTACTGCTTTCTATCGACGGTGCGCGAGCTGCACCGGCACCAGTCTGCGAATCGGCTCGCTAACGTCTACGGCTGGTTCCGTACTGACTGGAGGGGGTTTGTGAATGAAGCGAGTGGAGGTGGAGGTTTGGTCCACGGACACAGCGCATTTCACTGCGTCTGTTCCTCCACCTGCCTGACCAGATCTACCTGTTAGGATGCAACGTACCCACGACACACCCTGCTGTCAATAAGTTAATATGTCCTCGTTCGATTTCATAGGTTTTTTTTCATCAAAAAAGTAGGTAGTCAGAGATGTCCACGTCACCAGTCTGCTTGAGGGTTAAATGAGGTGTTTTATAAGTTACATTCCAGCCAACGGCTTATGATTACCTGCCTGAAGGGAGCTTCCTTCCATGAATACTGAATTAAATGACGAAAATAGCCATTATCCTTTTCAGAAATAGAAAATATTTCGATCTTCTTACCAAATCAGACAGAAGTTAGCATCTGACTATAGTGTAAAAAGTCAACAAGCCAGCCAAACCCATAGCAACAGAGCTTTAACCGGATGCTCTTATTGTCCTAGTTATGTCACCGTGTGGGTTTGTTTCCTGTTTTATTTTGTAGTTTCCTGCCTCTCGTGGGCCTGGGTACTATAAAGTGCCTTTGGTGTCCCCATCAGAATCACAATCATCGTGAAAATGGAGCAGAATGATGAATTGAGGTCATATTATATATGGCCAAACATCTACACACATATCAGTACAATGATAAGTTGCCTTGAATATGTTTCCTTCATTTAATATAATAGTTTTCCCACACACTGCTCTGCTAAGTGTCCGTAATAAAGTGGTTATTTGATACAAAATGTGGCTTTATTGTCCACAACATGTTAGTGTTTTTGATAAGGAATATTCAATTTTCATAATTGTTGCATGTGTGCCTGAGATTGCAGGTCCACCTACCATGATTACTACCATGATTTTGTCTTCTTCAATAAAGGCTGAAAACAGTGACTATTTGCAGAGTATTTACACTCAAATTTCATAATATTCATCACTGTCATAGAGAAATATCATTTTATAGTTCTCAATGAAATTCACAATCCAACTGGACAGGAACATAATGAAACCATCGTGGGATGAACCAGATCCCCAAAGGCAAATAAGTACAGTATTTTCTTTCCTCCCACGAATCAGTGTGCGTGGAGGCTAATACTGTGAGGCAACTCATTCCACATTTCCGTCAGGGAGTTTCAAACTTTGGGAGTCAAAAACCCAATGCGGTTGTAATCTCCAGTCGTCAAAGTGTATAAAAGTATTTCAGAAGGCGTTTTCTTTTCTGCCTGGTTGCTTGGCTACTCCCACGGACTGCAAACTTAGATCCTTCAAGCACTTTGGCCTTGTGGAAAGTCCACACTTCATATATGTATTTTTTTTAAGTCTGCTGTCATGTTATTCCTTCTTTCAGTCCAGAGCATGTTTGCTTTTGAGATGATTAAATAAGAAGTTTTACTCTGCTCTAACAAGAAGCTGGACTTTTTGTGAAAGAAAGAAATCTCCATGAAACCTTTTAATCCCCTTCCTTTATTCAATACAGTGATAGCACCAAACTGAAGACCGCAGCATAATTAAATCACAGACCTGGTGGCAGTTTTAGTATCTCAGCATGGCTGCGTCAGATCAGTGGATTTCTGCTTCCTGCTCTGCGTAAACCGTTGAACTTGGAAACCCTTTTGACCCGTGATGCATCACATCATCTGAAGGAGCAAGGATACAAATGCTCCATGTTCTTGTATCTAGGCCAAGGAAATCAACACTACATAGCTGGAAATGCTCACTGCTGCCTTGGGTTCATACTTCAGTGTCTCCATGCAGTTTTTTTTAGTGTTGTCACATACATGTTTATCACCAATGGAATTTACTATGAATTAATAATAGGTTAAATAATAGATGTCACATTTTCTGTGGATGTTTTCATTGAAATGGGACAGCATGATTGCATTGTGAGCATGTGCTGTCCTTTGTAGACGCCAGTAACTTATCATATTCATATGTTTAAGTGCATCTTAGACAGTCTTATTTGTTTTTATAGTTGTACTGTGCAACGTTATATATCATGTGATGCACTGTACGGCTTTGTACACAAGCCCCCAAACACCCTATTGATCCTGAACTATAATTTTCAGCTGCTATATTGTTTTTCAAATACAGAAAGAGGCAAGTTACTGCATTTATATAAAAAATAATGTAACTCTTAAAGACCAAACGTGCAGAAGACACATGGCAACATTTCTAAATATAACAATATGTTTCATACATATATTTCATATCAGCCTCGTATCACGCGTGTAGAAAACCTCATGGTACCGTGAAACAACGCATGTGCGGGTGACCCGGCATGATTTATTTTCAATGGCAGGCGATCTACCAGCACTGCCTTCGCGATCAACCTGTTGTTTTAAAATGTGTTCTTCTTCCTATCTGAGTACATATTTGTATATCACCTTTTAAATGAGAATCATTTAAGAAAGAAAGAGAAGAAATCATTTTAACATGTAAATTATATTTCTTCATGTTGAGCCTGTCGTACACTTGTGGAAAGCAAAGACGAGTTGGTTGAATCTGGGCTGGAGCATCAACTGTGAGATGACATCCATTGACTTGACAACTCAAAACATACACACAAACATGTCCGGGGCTTTAAACCAATGTCCCTACTGGATGGAAGTGATTCAAGTGTGTCCCAGCACGTATGTGTTTGTTTATCCACGTCGCAGCAAGGCCTGATCGAACGCACACGGGATCAGCAGCTGTTGCCTAGACCTCTGCGACCCCATAAGTTCCACAGTCACGATGGGTGTGCGCGCAGCGGCCTGCTGAGGCGTAGCAACACCGGCAGCCTCTTTTTGCCTGCTTAGCCTGTGAGTAATGCTGGGACCAGAGCGCGGGGGGGGGCGGGCGATGGGCTTCGTTAACTCTGCTCAAGCCTAATGAGCTGGAAAACTCCTAACCTTCAGTGATTTAGTTCAGCAAAAGCCCAAATTGTCTGTGATGGCAAATGGCTTGAGTCTAGGTTTCGGTCTTCTTTCATTTGTTTTCACAACAGAAAAATACGCTAAAAATAAAAAAAAGGAATCGTCAGAGCAGCCGTATGAGTCACGCTGTTTGGATATTATTGCAAAGCAACAGGAAGGTAATATATCACGCTAGTAAAGCAACATTAAGGAAAGTTTCCCATAAATATATATTTAGATTTATCTTTTTACATTACATACAATTTTGCAATTCTCATGGTTAACTTTTGCATTGCATTTGAACACTTCATTCTGTCAGACAGCAACGTGCATCTCGGGACCAGTGCGTGTTGTCTTGTGAGGACAACGATGTGGCTGCACACACCGACCGTGAGCTGAGCGCAGTGTTTGCCGCCCGGAGGCTCCTCGTCCAGATGAGTGCAGACAACGGTTTGTCAGACCCGGACCTGACCGGTCAGCTTTGGGTTCACAGGGACGTTTCAGGGGAGCCTGAAAGTGATAGTACACACGTACAGTAAATCAGCGTGGCGTTGATTTCTCAAAGATAAAAGAGTCTCGGCCCTGACCCTCTACGTCCAGGTTGGAGACACAGTCTCACATGAATGTTTGGTTCACATTTGGGGTTAAGCGCTGAATATATTAAACACACATAAGAAAAAATAAATAATAAATAAAAAGTGTGGGTTTTTCTAATTAAAGGAAAAGTCTGACATTTTGCAAAATGCGCTTATTTTCTTTTCTTTTGTCAATTGAGGAGATTCTCCTCCCTGTTAGGGATGAAGTTACAAGTAACAAGAATATGGAGAAATGACGCCAGCTTGACTTTGTCTGACAATCACTCTACTGGCATCATGAAAAGCTTAGTTAAGACATTATCTCAAACGTTTAATACGTAGACCAAATACAGGCTCATGGCTTGTTCAAATAACATAATTTAGAACATTTAAAATATTGTGAGAGTTAGCATAACTTCCACTTCAGCAAAAGAGCTGAAGTGGAATTTGTCAACAAACCAAACTGGCTGCAGTCAACTTAATGAAATCCAGTAGTTATAAGACGCAATTGATTTAGTTTATTAAAAGAAATAACTACACATTGTCCGTACGGTATGTTTTTATTCGCATGATACTAAATCATAGCAGCAGAACGGGAGGGGAGGCGATACAAGCAGTTGCAGATTCCTTCATCAAGCGTTGTTTCCCCTCGCGGGTCCTGGAGTGAGTCTTATAAGTTCAGTTGTAGTTCAAATATCAGAGACAGAGTTTAGTCCAGGGAGCGAGACGAGTCGGCCACCAAGGGGCAGTGTTGTTCCAGCGATGACGCGACAACAGCAGCAGGGCAAGAGGGGACCAGAGGGGAGCAAATCCATGTTCTACACATGTGATTACAACATGTGTAACATATATTGACTCGCCGTATGCGTCTTGCTTAATAGCAAACAACCTGAAAGGGAACATGATATGATTAATACAGATCACATCGTTTCAGCTCATGCAAAAATAAAAAACGTTCATGTCAATCTGCCTTTGCCTTCTTTCTCCCCTCTCTTGGCATCCTGATTCCATCTCATCATTCTCACATCACCTCTGACAGTAGAGAAGACAAGCCCTCCTGGCAGACGTCGTTACCCATCCAAGCTGTCACCGCGGACACACTGATGCTGCTTCCACTCGGCCGGACCGCACAATAGAAGATCACTCACACCGATCAGACGTCGCATAATTTGTTGCAAATTGTGATGTTTCCCTGACTCATCCGAGGGGCACTTTGGCCTTGAGCTCCGAGTGCCACTGAAAAGTAGCCAGAAAATGACTGCTTCGGTATGTTGCGCTAACAGGAGGAGGATGAAAGCCAAATCAGAGCTGATGAATTAAGCGTGGCAAGAAACACATTTATTCTTAACTGCTGCCTTTGAGCAAGGCAGTTTATTTTGGGCCTCATCGGTGTCCTGTCGTGCTCATTTGATATTACGTAACCTGGACAAACTCGATTTGAAATATTTAGGGTTTAGGCTTCTACAGACTGAATTCTGAGGGTTTGCTGAACGAAACATCACAGGCGTTTCCCTCGAGGTGAGACGGTTCCCTGAAACATACAACCTCTGCAACCATGACCCGGTGGAGTGCAGGTTTTGTAACGCAGAGGGTTTTGCTCACAAACTGGTGCTACACGGATCTCCCTCAAGGTAACCAAGAGCTTTACACGGTTCCCTCCCCCACTTCCAGGTGCTGAGGGGTCACCAGCATGTCAGCAAACTGCTTGGGGAGCGTACAGTCACTCCTGCAAAAGCCCGCCACGCAAAGTGCCAACGCTTCCTTTAAGCATCATTGACATTTTTCACCAGATCTTAAGGTAAAAACTTGAGTGTTGAATGCCAAAAGGAGCCGTGGTGTGCTTTTGTTTAGTTTGCCTGCGGTGGGCCTGAGGTGAAACAGCCATTCAGGAATTCCTGCAGACAATGCTCCACCTCTGTTTAGTAGAAATCCAGAGATTTGTCATGCAATGCCTGTAGGAATACAGTGCATTTTCTGCTCTGCCGCAAAATCTCGTTCTGCTCCACTGACATTCTCTGTCTCCGCTTGTTGGGGCAGTGCGCAGCCTCATGTGATTTATTTAGCTTGATTGCAGAGATGTGCAGCATTTCGCTGCATCTCCCGCCGTCATTAACAGTGAATAATCCTGAATCCTGCCTAATTTACTTTTTATTGTTCATTCCCTTCCTTGCTGATTAAATGGGTTTTTCCTGCACAGCTCCGTTTCTACATGTGCCACTTTAGGCGTTGTTTAGTTGCCAAACTTTTGTGTGCAATTGTGGAACATTAATCCGGCATGAGGTGCAATGTGAGGATGTTGTCTCTGGTACGCCTCCGTCACATCATCGCCCACAGTGTCACTTCTGACGGAGGAGAAGGCAGCGAACACGTTTCAACTGCTTTCTCTGGGAATCAAAGGCAAAATGAGAGAGAAAACCCAGAAAATGAGGAGGAATTACAACAAGGTAGCCACGCGAGGTTCCCGGGACGGGGAGATGATGAAACAGGAGCCCACTTTAGAACAGAGAGCCCTACAAATCTTAAAAGTCCCCAGTTTATCAAAGCCAATCCAGGAGGCGAAGCACAATCCCCCCCACGCCCCAGCCTCAGTCATTTCATGCCCTCACGCAGCTTTTTATCTCCAGAGGAAGGTGAACTTTGAAACCAGATAAATAGTTCACCCCATTTACCGGCAAGCCGAATGCCTTCATTTCCCCAGAATATTTGTTCAGCGTAGCCGGGGGACGTTTCATTCAGAATTTGTGCCTTTGCTTGTTTGTAGAAAGCGGTGCTCAATGGCTACTAAAAATAGCGCCATTGACCCACTTATTAATAGGACTCCCTGGCATTGTTGAAAGGGCTAGATCAGATCACACAAGACCTTTTAATAGAAACACCCAGTCATCCTCTTTTCAGTATAATCTTGAGGTTACGGTGACATCACCCGCAGCATGTTTTTCTGTTATTCAAATCCTCGGTTAGGCCCGTCTCTAGTTCCTGCCAGCACGCATCCCTGTGATCTCTCCCCCCCCAATGGTCTGTTAGAGCGAGCACACGGCCGCCTTGCAAAGTACCCATTATGAGCCGCAGCTGTCATCGGGCTGTGGATTGCTGTAAAAAAACAGGAGTTGTTTGGCCTGGTTCATCAGAATATTAGCGAGCCTCACTCGGGTGAAATAAGGGCTGTATGGAGGTGAGTCTCCGCTCTCCTCTGCAGGTACTGCAGGATACGAGGAACGATTCTAGACAGCCAAACTGCTTGTATGCTGCTCTTTCGTACTGTTATTGTCACAATAACTAGTTCGCTAAAAGCTCAAAAACTAAAAATGCACAGTACACACCTCAACCAACCAGTCAATTGTAACACGATAAATCGTATAGTTTTAATATATTAAGTTTTAATAGTGAGTGTATTAGTTAAGTAGTTGAAATAGTTGGGTAAAAGTAATCCGTAGTTGAAATAATCAGCTGACCAAGGGGTCGTAATGAGACTGGTGACTAAACACTGAACATTAAGAATTAAGAAACAATCTAACAATATAAACTATTTGCTGTGTTTTTTACCGTGAGATGGAGACATTTGGACCATGCACGTGTCAGTAAGGGGGACATGACCTGACAGGGATCTGGCTCCAGCAGGCCCTGACCCACAGCGGCCCGGAGGAATCGTGTGAGCCATTTGGTGGACTAATTTGTGGCTGGTAAACGGTCCTGAGCAGCGCATGCATCCAGGATAGTATGCTGACTTCTCTCTTTTCTGGTTGATTTACCGAGAACTCTTTGAATCATTCCTGTTTAGGGTTATAAATCAGCAGCAACGAAAGGCTGAATCCTACATTTCTTAATAACAAGTGAACATATCTCTTCTCTTCCACACGGTGCGGTACATGTAAGCTGTTTTTAAAGCTAAATCCACATCACTAAGAATGGTTCTGCAGTGATAAAGACATTCTGAACTACACATTTTCTCCAAAGTGAGCTGCAAGTCATCTAATGGAAGCAGTGATAAGTGTAAAATCCTGGACAACTCCCCTGACACCCTCTTGTAGATCTGAATCCAGACAGCGCGCTCTGAAGTGCTGCACTTTCATGGGAGAGGAAAAAAAAAGAGACGCCTGCTCCTATGGCAACAGAAAATCAGTTAAATGAAGACAAACAGGAGGCCTCTGAACCTCCACCTACGCATGCACTAAAAAACACAACCTTCCTTTCACAAATGCATCAATGTGGTTGCTTTGTAGACTCGCTGAATGCTAATGGCTCGTGGCATGCGCCGCCTAAATAGGTCACGACTGGGAATAATTGTATTAACTGCTGTAAATAGGAATAAACAGTGGAAAGTGAAGAGCAGTAATGGCTCGTCGGGATCTATTCTCAGGCTTTCTCAGAAAATGCCGACGTCCCGAGGGAGGCACTCCCTGTCACAATTTGGCTTTTTGTATAAAACTGCCATCTGCCTAATTATGAACAGGGAGACAAACAAAACGTAGGGGGAAAAAAAAGTCTTCAACCTGATAACATTCCTCAGTAAATGTTCTTCAATAGGGTTCACATCTGAATAACACAGATGAAACAACGACAAGCTATTATTCCATTGTACCTTACATCTCCGAATGCATTTAACAGTGATTCAGTGCTCTGTAATTGGAGTGGAAGAAACAGTTTAGTTATATTTAGTGGGAACAGCGCAGAGACGCAAAGCCAAGAACAAGCCGTTCTCTGAGCGGCCCACAAATATGTGCAGCGGAGGCTTTTAAAGCGAAAACAGCAGGAAGTTGATCAGCTCTTCCAAAAGGCCAAAAGTTAACCCGGCTGGTCAGATGCCCAAACAGTAAATCATGTTTGCAGACTGGCTCTGGGGAAATATCACCGTTGCCTCTGGTCCTCGGTATCAGACGCGTTGCTGTGAAACAGTCGACCCTCAAACAAACCTCTCTGCCTCTGGAGCAGCATTTACTCGACAGCAGATTTGTGGTGTTTTCTGGTCAAGACGCCCTCGTCTCTCTCTGGCTGACGAGAGCAAGGTATTCTTTAAATGTTTGTTCTTTAAATGTCTTTAAATTTAAATGTTCTTTAAACAGATGGCTCCAAAGACGTCTGGGTGTAAAAATATCAAACACGTGCGAGAGGCTTGAGAGCTCAGAATGCCATCTATTCTTCATCCCTGATCTCCTCTGAGATCCCGGCCCGGGGGCTGATGGTTTCTGTTGAGGCGCATGTACACTCTGCAGAAAAACAACAGCAAAATGGTAATATGTCATTTTGAGGTTGTCTGCGGAATGGAAGCTTTCCACTGTGATGTAGATGCAAATCACGACTCATAAAACCTAAATTACTGAATATCTCCGTCTCCAAATCTCCTAATCCCATACGGCACGTGTTGTCAATTCTCCACTGAAAGTAAGAGGGCAGAAGGGTTCACTGACGTACGGTTATGTTCAACCTTTGAATGGAGCATCACAGCATCTTTTATAATTATTTCATATCAGAATTTGTTTCTCCTTTGGACACCAACTGAATGGTGTTTGAAGTTGTGCTTGCAGGGTCTCTATGGTGATGTAATGGATCTCACTCCACCCCGGAGTGCGGCGGCTCGGCCCACTACAAACACATTTCATGTACAACAAGTCTGAGTCTGATAGACTCGTTTGGTTGGAGACCCTTTGCGTGTTGACATTTAGCTCAAAGAACCTCTGGCCGCTCCGGACACTTATTCACCTTCAGAAATGGTTTCTTCACACACATTTTCCGGTAAATCCTCTGAAGAACCAAACAATAGTAATAGTAACATTTCCAAGACTGGTTTCCTGGAAGGAATCCACCTGGAAAGCTCTGAAAGGGTTAAGATGTCTAATTCTGCATGAAGACTCCACTGCCTCAGCGCCGGGCCGGGGACACACTACTGACGGCGCTCCAGGACGCGACGTCACTCTGCCTCATATCCTGAACCATCACGCTGACAAAACTCTGCCCCGGAGAAGAAAAAAAAAACACATCTGACAGAAACAACAACACAGATCTCTCCAGTTTTCTCAACGTATGCCTGGGGAATATACGCGAGATGAAGACACAGCGTGAAGGGGGACATGTATAAAACATGAGCGGATTGGGCCAGCGAGGTGAGCGGCACGGAGCGCTGCCTTGCAGAGAGGACTAAATATGAAGCGGATGTCTGATTCATGACCCACGCTAACCTCTGAACCCGACGGATCTCAGCTGCTACAGTAGATTTGGAACAGTTCATGCTGTCTTACATATTTCGAGCGGTATCTCCTGAAGGGCGACACTGTGCGTTAGCTCGTTCGGTGCGGGTTGAACAGGAGTGCCCTCCCCTCACACGGCACGGCCTCAGAGTTCGGCCTTTTCCCATCAACTCTTTCTGTGAGCGGCAGCCGAACATTATTTCGCATTGTTTGATTCCCACGACGAGTCTTTGCCACTCAGAGGATGTGAGACGGGCGAGCCGACAGCTACACAGGAAAACACATTACTATTTCAGTCGGAGCTTCCGTGCCGCTCTACAACCATTTTCGGAGTCGTCCCATAGCCCTGCTCTTAATTGTTAATGATTTCTTCAAATGCAATAGCCAGCACGACTGGCACTCTCCTCCCTCGGAAGGTACCGCATTTCTGAGATGTAAATCCGAGGGTTAGTCCGTAAATCAGGTTCCCGCCGGCCGTGCGCGTGGATGTGGCGAGAATGCAACGTCGTGCCAGAGTGTAGCCGTCTACCATGCAAACCCGAACCGCACGCCAGATCTCCAGACTTTGATCGTGTCGCTGAGGATGGTTTGCTGGTGGGATGGAGGGCACGTGAAACACGCGTGGCCAGTGAGGGAACGCGGCGAGCGCGGTGAACTTCAAAAGCGCTCGTTAAAGATTGGAGACGTGGGCGAAGGCGTCTGTTCGGATCTCTGATTCGACAGAGCCTGCTGACCGTGGGATAGAGCCATCGAGATGCCATCGAACAGCTACACGCATGCGACATGGCTAAAAGAACGTAGCCATGTTAGCGCAATCCTGCTGACACGGCTAAAAGACAAGGGGTTTTCTTCCATCGGACGTGGGGTTCTTACATCAGCTCTGTGGCAAACAGACGTTTATGATCCTGGCTCTGACGCCGATTGGCCGATCGGCAGTTTCCCCCCTGCGGGGATCAATCGCAGTTTCATATCACGGAGCGGCTCTACTTGGTCGAGTGCGCCGGTTCCAAGTTCTGCAGCCAAGCAAAGTTTTGTAAGACACTTCAGAACAGATTTACATAGCTGGGCAGACACGTGAGAGGTTACAATTCAAAGAACAGTTGGATAACCGTCAGCAGGCATCTTCACTGTAATTACCTTGAATAAAGTCAAAGAAACGACAGGTTGCTAGGAGACTGCTGCAGGGAGACCAAGAAAGGCATTAATGCTGACCTTTGGTAAAAAAATGTAAATGGTACATCACGTTGTTCATGCCACGGATCAGGGATCTTTATGAAGTATACATAAATCAGTCATTTATTGCTTGACAAACATGAACTTCTCATTCATAAATGAAGAGCAGCGGTTAAGGAGATACATCAAGTTATTACCCCAGGTTAGGGTTTGGTACTAACATCCGTTCCATGACTCATTCTTTCCATGACCACGAGGGAAAAAGGAACACCTCACATGCGTTGTCTTTCAGCTGATGCCGGACGCTTCATTCAAGGTCCACAAAATTCCCGGTTTGATTTCTGAAATCTACACCAGACACACTGACCGCTGCTGCAGGCCACAGAAAGATCGCATTCAAAATAGCGGGAGAGTTTCCATCACCATCAACCCGTCCCGTGCGTGTTCTTTTCAGTTGAACTGTGTGCAGATGTGGCTCCAACACGAATCCCTCATGCGGCGAGAGACACGGCGTGAAAGTCTGGTCACATACCGGACAAGAGCGTATTCAAATCAGGTCATTTATCCATCTTGCCGTCGGGCACGGAGAGGAGATCACACCTCGGTAAGCGAGCGCGTGCCACTGGCTCCCCGGGGGGTTGGGGTGAGAAGAAGGGGGGTAAACTAAACCTCACACTTTTGAGACGGTGGCTTCGAAAGTGTGAGGGTGTCAGTTTGCTTCCTGTAAACATTTCAAATGGCCAATATTCAGGTCATTGACGAGGCCAAAACAATAACGGTTTCCTCGGCCCGCTTTGAGTTGATAGGGAATTTAACAGATATGACTAATCAGCTGACTATCAATTTACAGAAATATATCAAGGATTGAAGAGATGATGATTGGGAGCTGGATGTGGACACGTATTGCAGAGAAATTAGAAGAAGAGT